TACGAGGAGAGAAAAGAAAAGAAATCTTGATGACACAGATGTGAGCGCAGCCCACATATATTCCACGAACACAGTGGCAGTTTCCGTCTTATCGATTTTCGATTTGATACTTGTGACACAACAACAGGGATGTGCTGTAACTTGTATTTACATTTTAAAAATGTTCAAGACTGAGGTCAGAAAACTTTACATGTACTCTAAAATTCCAGTGTCTTTTCGTTTGTAGAGCCAAAGCATCACTTCACATAAAAACGTTATTAGTAGCTCGATTTCCATCTAGATTATACAAGCGTCTTTAAAAACTTGACACACTTCTCAATCGATTAACAACAGTATCAGACCAACCCATATCGCCAATTTCCTGCACGTGGTTTCACCGAAGTAGTAAACGTCTGAGACCCGCATCATTTCGGGCTTTCTTCCCACATTAAGCTGACACGCCGTGATATAACTGGAAAAAATGTTAAGAAGCGGCTCACTAATCACAACTCACTCACTCACTTTAGCGGTGATACATTCCACCACAGCTAAGGATCCAAAGATGTAGGAGTAAATCAATACTGACTGCGGTAAATGTGTTCTCTAGCTAAGTTAAGACTGGTCGAACCCGTGAAGATTCCGTGGTAGAATAGGTCTTCAGCAACCCATACTTGCCGTACAAGGCGACTATGCTTGTCGTACAAGGCGACTATGCTTGTCGTAAAAGGCGACTATGCTTGTCGTAAAAGGCGACTAACCGGATCGGGTGGTCAGGCTCGCCGACTTGGTTGATACGCGTCATCGATCCCAATTGCGTGGATCGATGCTCATGATTTCAATTACTGGATTGTCTGGTCCAGACTCGATTATTTTACAGACCGCCGTCATATTGCTGGAATATTGCTGAGTGCGGCGTTAAACAATAAACAAACAAACAAACAAACAATAAGACTTGTCGAGTTTCAGTATAGACCTTAAACTGGTTCTACCAACGCAATCGGTCAAATCCACTTATAACAATGTCTTTGTAGTTGGCCGCCAGATATTGTTGCTCAATCGCCAATGTGTCGTATTATTTCTCCTGCTCTTAAGCCCGAACCTCTACCTCTACCCAGAATATGGGGCGGTCGGGTAGCCTAGTGGTTAAAGCGTTCGCTCGTCATGCCGAAAACCCGGGTTCGATTCCCTACATGGGTACAATGTGTGAAGCCCATGTGTGGTGTCCCCCGCCGTGATATTGCTGGAATATTGCTGAAAGCGGCCTAAAACAATTTTCACTCACTCACTCACTCTACCCAGAATATACTCGAGTCTCACTCGGGTCAGCCCGCCTCCGTGGTCTAGTGGGAGAGTGCCCGCCCGGGGAGCGGAAGGTCCGGGGTTCGATTCCCGGCCGCGTCATACCAAAAGACGTTAAAAGATGGTACTTGTTGTTACCCTGTCTGGCGCTCGGCATTAAGGGACTAAAACAAGGACTGGTCGGCTCGGAGTCAGTATACTGTGTCTGAGTGGGGTATTCATGTTAGACTGTGGCATGGTATCTCGGTGGACTAGCACTATAAATCGGCATCAGTCCGTACTAGTACAAGCAGCCATACAAACACACACACGTACATGCACGTCGCTATATATAAGTGCAATACTCTTAAACCCCATTTCCCCTCACCTCACTCGGGCCAATTGTAGCGATGGTGTCCCTGTGCATTTCCCATTGTGCAATGATGTTGTCATTTGTGAACGTTGGTTTTATACCCTCTGGATTATCGAACAGTACTGATATATGTTCCCCCTTGACTCGTGAATTGTAATAAACCTATCTATAAGCCAATTGTTCACTTATCTTGAAAAGAAATATATCTTCGGAGAAAACAGTCAATGTCTCCGAGCACAGTTCACTCATTGTGGCCACTAATAGCCACATTGGAATGGACTATACTCGACATTTGAGTCCATGGGTAGGGACAATCGGCTAAGCCTACTGGATCATAACATTCATCTGGCGGCATTATGTGAACCAACCGTTGTTCATTGTGTCCGACAAGTTGAAGGCCAAGTTTTCGGCATATGTTTTAATGGAGCACGTATGTGTTCAAGGCGTGTATAAACACCGCTCGCGTATACTTTACAGTACACAGAAGGCGATTATGTTGTAAGGAATACCCACCATGCACGCATTTCTAAGAGATACGAAGACTTAGTGTAAAGTTTGCCGAACAATTCAAGACCCAACTCCGTTGGCCAGTAGACTGCTTTCTTACAGGGTGACATGTCGTATGGTGTACAAGCTTTACGAGCAGAAGATAACCCTGACATGTAGTAGAATTTGGTACGAAATTAAAGATACAATTAATGTTTCCCGGACTGCACTAACTATTGCTCTCCAACAGATGGGTTGGTTGTTTTTCGTTGTTTAAGGCCGCAATATTCCAGCTATATGACGGCGCTCTGTAAATAATCGAGTCTGGACCAGACAATCCAGTGATTGATATCATGAGTATCGATCCACGCAATTATTTGTTTTGTTTGTTTATTGTTTAACGCCGCACTCAACAATATTCCAGCTACATGACGTCGGTCTGTAAATAATCGAGTCTGGACCAGACAATCCAGTGATTGATATCATGAGTATCGATCCACGCAATTGGGATCGATGACATGCATCAACCAAGTCAGCGAGTCTGACCACCCGATCCCGTTAGTCGCCTCTTACAACAAGCATAGTCGCCTTTTACGGCAAACATGTGTTGCTGAAGACCTATTCTACCCCGGATCTTCACGGGTTCCAAGAGATTGGATTTCGATACACTGTGCGTGGCAAAGACCGAGCAGTTTTCAGGGGAAAATATTCCATCCTGTCTATGAGGTCACATTATCTCCGGCCCATTCATAACTATCACAGTCAGGGCGTCCAGATAATTTACCTTGATGAATCATTCCACTGACTACATATGGCTGTCGGCAGATGGACAAAAAGCACCCATGGTACCATCAGGTAAAGGTACTCGTGTCATTGTGTTGCTTGCCGCATCCCATGATATGAGGCTTATTGATGGATGTGTGCTAGTTTTCGAGGCGAAAAAGAAAACTGGTGATTTTCTTAAGGAATTTTTAGGAGTTGATGTGTTCATAGACTGGTTGGAACTTCAGCTATTGCCCATTTTAAACAACGTCAGTGTCACTGTCATGGAGACCCGTGAAGATTCCGGGGTAGAATAGGTCTTCAGCATGCTTGTCGTAAAAGGCGACTATGCTTGTCGTAAAAGGCGACTAACGGGATCGGGTGGTCAGGCTCGCTGACTTTGCTGATGCATGTCATCGATCCCAATTGCGTGGATCGATGCTCGTGATGTCAATGACTGGATTGTCTGGTCCAGACTCGATTATTTACAGACCGACGTCATATAGCTGGAATATTGCTGAGTGCGGCGTTAAACAACAAACAAAACCAAACGAAACCATTGTCATGGATAACGCCAGTTAATACGAGTACGTCCGGGAAACAGATACTGTCGCCCCTGCCATGAGTAGTCTGAAGGCGACCATACAGGAATATATGACATTGTCGACTTCAGACCATAGTTCAACTCATGGGGAAAATCCGGCTGAATAAGAACCAAGTAAAATACAAGACACATGTGTTGGCGGCACAACACGGTTACGTTGTCTTACGTACGCCAGTCAGACATTGTGAGCTCAACCCTGCTATGTTGGCTATGTGTAAAGGGTTCGTGGCAAGACATAACACAACATTCAGAAGTACAGATTCATATACGTCATCAGCGGAGATAAATGCTACCTCAAGGAACCATCTGTAGAACAAATTCTTCTTGATTCCAAAACCTCAACCTTCCAATACTCCTCCCGTTTCATTGCTTTTAACTATTCCATCATGTTTCCAAGCAAATATAATGCAGTGCATATCCAGAATTGCTACCCCATCAACGCACATGTCAGTTAAGTACAATAACAACATTATTTTGAGACCACCCCCAACTTGGGTGACATTTGCACCTGTGAGGATGCACGGGACGGTGTGAGGTCATCACCTCGGGACAAGTGTTAGGTTATTACCTCAGGTTATAGGCCGTTTCATACACGTATGACAACACACGATTTTTTTAAGGTTATCATCATTTTACCTGTAAAAGTACATTTTAAGGGTAATCACAATGTCGGTTAGGACAGGCTAGATTAGGTCAATTCACGTTATTTTGATATATACTCTTTTTATAGTCCTATGACTCGTATTTATTAAATGAAGCCAGAAAGAAAACATTTTTCTAGCATTTCCGACAGTACTTATGTGTAAGATAACCCTAATTGCTTTGCCATGCGTTGTGACGCCATGCATAGTCCCTGGACACGCCAGAAACCTATGATCGTGGGTTCAATTCCCGGTTCGCCCCGATTATTTTTCTTATTTTACATTAAGTTGATATATCTTGTGTAATGTTCAAAGGGCGTTCAACCCTACTCACTCTCTCACCAGTAACGAAAGGTAATATGGTACATCCATAGTTTGTTATATTTATAGTTCCTTATAGCCGTAGATGGATATATATTTTAGGGCTGTATATGCATCTACTTGTTGATCGACTGTGTCGATTCCGGGTTAAAAAGGTCCCCAGCAACCCATTCTGGTCGCACCACTCGACTACATGGATTGGGTTGTCAGGTTCGTTGACTGGGTTGAGTGTATAATAATCAATCACTGTCTTTTTCTGGCTTAGTTATTTGTATCACCGATTGCGACGTTAAGCGACAAACCAACAAAACAACAAAAACTGGTTGAGCGTTTTACATTTAGGTTTCTAAGACTCGATTACTTACATGCTAGATCAAGTGATCAGGCTCGCCGATTTTGTTGATGTATAACAGTGTATCCCAATTGCGTGGATTGATGCTTATGATGCCCATCAACGGATTGTCTGGTCCAGACACAATTACTTAGTCAGTCGCAATACATATATCTTAGTGCCGCGTTAAACAAGAAATAAAAAACTGATTGTGTATGTTTTCAGGGAGATGAGAACGAGGAACGCGGCAACTGGGGCAGCAAGATCGACTTCTTCCTCTCATGCCTGGGTTACGCCGTCGGCCTCGGCAACGTGTGGAGGTTCCCCTACCTGTGCTACCGGAATGGGGGAGGTAAGTGGGGGTGTTTCATTACCATAGGGATGAAAGGAATTTGATGCAAGGAGACTTCTAGGCCTTGACCACCTTCTCAGGACTCGAGAAATAATATAATCCCGAGGACATTCCCGTTACAATACTGCCCCAGCAACATGTATTGGTCGTGAGAAGCGATCTGCTGGATCACGTGGTCAGCCACAGTTGCTCGCTGTGGGAATGTGCTCGTATTTCACACTCTCAGGTCTAGATTCAATTGTGCAAATGTCGCCGTGATTAAGCCGTGGTTCAAATTACACACATGAAAACCATATTGTACAAAACGCTTTAAACTAAAAAGTAGGTGTTAAGAGTTAGATATACCCTGATCTCGCCCTCTGGCAGATGAGTAAGTGAGTGTGGATTTACGCCGCTTTTAGCAATATTCCAGCAATATCAAGGCGGGGGACACCAGAAATGGGCTTAACACATTGTACTCATGTCGGGAATCGAACCCGGGTCTTCTGCGTGACGAGCGAACGCTTTAACCACTAGGCTACCCGACCGCCCACTCTGGCAGATGAACGTTGTCCGCGAGCTACCGTTTTGTAAGAAGAGACGGCTACCAACGATCCAGCAGCTTCGCGCATCACTGCAGTTTGTGTCAGATTATCGGCAAAGTCGGCGAGGGGCCAACGTATCAAGTGGAAACATCCTTTGTCCTCTGCCTCTCTCACATTTCATCAATTTAAAGCCCATCATCTCCTTGTAAGATGTTTGCGTCCTTGAAACAGAGGCCCCCCATTGGGACACCTGGTTGGATTTGAATCTTTGCAACCCATACAGGGTTAAACTATGGTAGTTACGCTTTGTGAAACGGGGCCCTGGTCGTATTTTGTTTTGGTTGTTATTTGACGCCGCACTCGGCAATATTCCAGCTATATGACGACGGTCTGTAAATAATCGAGTCTGGACCAGACAATACAGGGATTGACAGCATGAGCATCGATCTACGCAAATGGGATACAATGACATGCATCAACCAAATCAGCGAGGCTGATCACCCGATCCCGTTAGTCGTCTCTTACGACAAGCATAGTCGCCTCTTGCAGCAAACAAGGTTTGCTGAAGACCTATTCTCCACCCGGATCTGCAGGGTCGCCCTGGTCATAAGAGACGACGTAATGGTCAGGCTTAGATCTCTGCTCATAAATAATAATTGGATTGTCTGGTCCAGATTATATACAGGCCGCCATCATATAGCTGGAACCTTGTTGAAAGTGGCTTTACGTAACACACTGACAGAGGAATAAGCCTAGCGGGATTGAAATAGGCGTACTTCTACTACTACTGTTCCAAGCCCAAGAGGTTGCAAGCAAGATCGGTAGATGGCTACACAAAATTCGACCCAAGATCCACCAAAAGCCATACTGAATTGAAAGGAAAGTTGAAATAGCCATCTCACGCATAAGACTCGGTCCGAAAAAAAGCACTATGAAAAGGTTTGTCCATCTTGCAATCAACCTGAATCCATTGCTCACTTGTTACTGGAATGTCAAGACCATGCCCCAGTCCGTGTTCGGCTAAAACAAGAATTGCTGTTAGATCCGCTACCTGTCGTAGAGGAGATGCAATAGCGAAGGCCAAACTAACTCTATTTCTTAGAGATGGACAGCTACTCGAACGTGTATAAACAGAGCAGCCAAGGTTAAAAATGAAATTATATCAATAAACGAAAATAGAAATCATATCAATACAAAAACAGAAACTCTATGAATACCAAAACTCACAATAGATATGTGTTACGCACGCACATGAGTCCCAAAGAGGGACAGATCAGCCGAAATTGCTTAGGCAGAGGGCGACCTCTTAATCACTTAAAAATCAACTACTACTACTGTTCTTTAACTTCTTGTGAGTACTATGTATCGGTTATCTTACCCGTACAGAAACCGCTCATGCATAAGAGACGAGTGAGTGAGTTTGGTTTTACGCCGCTTTTAGCAATATTCCAGCAATATCACGGCGGGGGGCACCAGAAATGGGCTTCACACATTGTTCCCATATCGGGATTCGAACCCGGGTCTTCGGCCTGACGAGCGTACGCTTTAACCACTAGGCTACCCGACCGCCCCATACGAGAACAACCCGGACGGGAGAAGTCTCCTGATTGACCCTGATAGTAAGACGTAAGATCTGACGCTGTAGTAATGAGAAAATGAGGGGTCTTTATGTATTTGGATATTGTGATTGCAATGTTACAGTGATCTGCTCACGGAAAAAGTATCGTCTGACAAACAACTTAGGTTAACCATACTCGTAGCGCTTTGTGCAACGGAGCCGTGTTACTTTAGTCAAGGTGTGATAAATGCGCTCTTTGGCTCACAGCCTTGAAATGAGCACGATCAAAGGAAATTGAAATGAAGGAACTAGACTAGATGTTTTCAGTAAGTGGTGGTGTGATATTTAAGCATGGGAAAATTGCTGATTTCTTTAGATGTAGATAAAGACTACAAACATATAGGGATCAAGCATCTGGGATCAAGGACGGTTTTATTATCGCTTGAAGTTTGACAAAATGTCCTTCATCACGCCCTTCCTCTAGTACTTGATCTCGCCATATATACAAACCTTGCTAGTGTTTTTTGTTTGTTGTGTAACGCCGCACTCAGCAGTATTCCAGCTTTATGACGGCGGTTAGTAAACAAGTGTTGACCAGACAATCCAGTGCTTGACATCATGAGCATCGACCCACGCATTTGGCATACGTTGACATGCATCAACCAAGTCAGCGAGCGAGCCGGACCACCCGATCCCGTTATTCGCCTCTTACGACAAGCATAGTCGCTTTTTACGGCAAGCAGTGGTGGTGAAGACCTGTTGTACCACGGATTTTCATGCAAGTGTGAAAGGAGCACAGACCAGTTGTCAGTCATTTGAACATGCCAATAATTAATTCAAAATTTTACGTTTAAATTCAACCTCATTAAAATCAGATCTTAGTTCTCGCTATCGCTAAACAAAGATCTGAGGACATCCCATTACGGGTCACGTCAGAACGACCATTCATCCGACCAATCAAAGCGTCGCTTACCAGATCATGAAAGTGACAGTCAGAATGTGTTTACTGATCGTGCAACCTCGAAAACGTTAACACGGGGTATTCCAAATGACAGTTACGGCCCTGATTCCGTCCAAATTATCGTCTATCTCTCGCTTCCATGGGAGAAACATTTAAACGGAAGATGTGTTGCACTGCCATACAATCTCAACCATATATTAGACATTCCGGAATGTTCGTTTGTTCAGTTTTCAAAATGTTAATCGAGAACTGTGTCAACATATTTTTCAAGCGTAGTCTGAAATGGAATCGCCAGGTTGAAACGAGTGATGTAAAGCTAGAGAGAGCTGTTTTCTAATTGGCTGATGTCGTGATGTTAGTCATTTCAGTGGTCGGTCAAAGTACACGAAAGGTCGTTCTTATGTGACCCGTAATGGGATGTCCTCAGATCTTTGTTTAGCGGCAGCGAGAACTTAGATCTGATTTTAATTAGATTGAGTTTAAATTTTAATTTCCAGATTACTTTTTATCCCTCTTTATGTCTCACAGGTATCAGTTTGAGGCATGATTTCTAGACATTTCCTCGATCAATATTTATCTCTGTGAAACCTGACCGCCTCCGCGGTCTTGTGGTAGAGCGTCCGCCCGGAGAGCGGAAGGTCCAGGGTTCGATCCCGGGCCGCGTCATACAAAAAGACGTTAAAAGATTGTACTTGTTGTTACCCTGTCTGGCGCTCGGCATTAAGGGGCTAAAACAAGGACTGGTCGGCTCGGAGTCAGTATACTGTGTCTGAGTGGGGTATTCATGTTAAACTGCGGCATGGTATCTCAGTGAGCTAGCACTATAAACGGCATCAGTCCGGACTAGTACAAGCAGCCACACACACACACATACACGTGCATGCACGTCGCTATATAAGTGCAATAATCTTCGACGCGACGTTAAACCCAATTTCACCTCACCTCACCTCTGTGAAACCTCAACCTATCCATATCGGTGTTGTGTGTTATTTTATGGAACGATAAAATTATTCTGGAATATATACTACTCAAAAGAAGTTGAGGAATATCCGATGTTTTTATTAGTTAATGTAATGACATATCAGAGGAACTCTAGTCATATGAAACAAATCAGGTGTTATTTTACTTCTTTTGGGTAATGTATAATACATGCTGAACGGCCAATATCAATAAACGAATAACTGATTCAACACACTAAGCATCATGTCACTTCATTGCCGTGTACATGTAGGTACAAGACTTGTTCATTATGCTATTCAGTCACAGGATGGCGTAACCTTTTATGCGTAACCCACGTGAAGGTCCGGTGTAGAATTGGTCTTCAGCAACCAATGCGTCCCGTTAGAGGCGTCTATGCTTGCCGTAAGAGGCGACTATGCTTGTCGTAAGAGGTGTCTATGCTTGCCGTAAGAGACGACTATGCTTGCCGTAAGAGACGACTATGCTTGCCGTAAGAGACGACTATGCTTGCCGTAAGAGACGACTATGCTTGCCGTAAGAGGCGACTATGCTTGCCGTAAGAGACGACTATGCTTGTCGTAAGAGACGACTATGCTTGCCGTAAGAGACGACTATGCTTGCCGTAAGAGACGACTATGCTTGCCGTATGAGACGACTATGCTTGCCGTATGAGACGACTATGCTTGCCGTATGAGACGACTATGCTTGCCGTAAGAGACGACTATGCTTGTCGTAAGAGACGACTATGCTTGCCGTAAGAGACGACTATGCTTGCCGTAAGAGACGACTATGCTTGCCGTAAGAGACGACTATGCTTGCCGTAAGAGACGACTATGCTTGCCGTATGAGACGACTATGCTTGCCGTATGAGACGACTATGCTTGTCGTAAGAGGCGACTAACGGGATCAGGTGGTCAGGCTCGCTGAATTGTTGACGCATGTCATCCTGTCCCAATTGTGTAGATCGATGCACATGTCAATCACTGGATTGTCAAGTCCAGACTTGATCATTTACAGAACCCAGTCATGTAGATGGAACAAACACGTCTATGCATAACCTTTAATGGAAAAAATTATATTCCTACCAACTGATTCACATTTCAGGTGCGTTCTTCATCCCCTACACCATCATGCTGGGACTCGTGGGCATCCCCATCTTCTTCCTCGAGCTCTCACTCGGCCAGTTCACCAGCAGTGGACCCGCCACCTGCTGGAAGTTTGCACAGCTTTTCAGGGGTAGGCAACTCTTCTAGTGAGGTGGTCTCGTAGTTTCTCCAGTTTACGTGACTATCTCATTACTTTGCACAATATTGTTGCAGTGACTCTTGTGTAAATGTTACTCGATATCAAATTGTATACGGACATGTCTGTTAACCATAAACAAAACGTTTCTCAAAAACAGCTGACATGTCGAAGGAGTGATATTTCACCTCCACTCCGTTTAAAATATTCACAATGATTTAGGTTATTTTGGAACTTATTTGCTATGGCGTGAAAACAATGAACATTAGCCGTTACAATTCTGTATGTAGCATATACTTTACAAATATTTCTATTAATAAAAAAAATGCTTTAAAACTCTGCAATGCAGTGTTTCAGTCTGTATCGTACCAAGGTGCGCAAAGCGTGAGTACGAATCCAATATTTGATTCCATTATAATCCTTCGTCTGTCAGTATCATACCCGTTGATTTCGTCAAATGGTGGCATCACTTCCGTCTTCGTCCCAAGCCGCCGTCGTAGAACTTCATATTCCGTACAAAGCAGCGTTACATCCAAATCACTGCCCAGTATCCGAAGTACAACTTTTGAAAATATACATATATGAATGATGGGTGATATTTGCTTACATTCGATGTGTCTGCCCCTGCAGGTATTGGTCTGGGCATGGTGATCGTTTCTTCCCTCGTCGCCGTCTACTACAACATGATCATCGGCTGGGCCTTCTACTACCTGTTTGCCTCCTTCACGTCCAAGCTACCGTGGTCCGAGTGTGGGGATTGGAGCTCAGAATGTAAGACTTCACTTCGTTATTAAAGCCCCGTGAATAACACGACTCCCTACAGTCAAAACACGACTCCCCACAGTCAAAACACGACCCATCACAACTCCCCACCGTCAATACACGACCCATCACAAATCCCGAGCGTCAACCCGCCACGACCCATCACAACTCCCCACCGTCAACCCACGACCCATCACAACTCCCAACCGTCAATCCGCCACGACCCATCACAACTCCCTACCGTCAACCCACGACCCAACACAACTCCCCACCGTCAACCCACGACCCATCACAACTCCCTAACGTCGTACTTCTAAGGTACCCGTGGAGATCCGGGCTAGAATTGATCTTCAGCAACCCATGCTTGTCGCAAGAGGCGTCTAACGGGATCGGATGGTCAGGCTCGCTGACTGGGTTGATGCATGTCATCGTAACCCAACTGCGTCGATCGATTCTCATGTCAGGCACTGGATTGTCTGGTCCAAACTCGATTATTTACAGACCGCCGTCATATAGCTGGAATATTGCTGAGTGTGGCGCTAAACAACAAAAATACAAACAAACATACATACTACCAAGACGCATCACATGTTGACTCCTATTGGTTTCCTTGTCCTAGCGAGTGTTCTAATGTTCCCAAGATGCGTTGTGAATCAACTGGACCACATTAGATTTCAAGTACCTCGCGTTGTGAGGTGCGACTCTGTTACCATCATTAACATAACCTGCTACTGTCGTGTGTCCTTCAGACTGCTTGGACCGTCTGCCGCTTCTGGAGAACTGTACCATGAGGAACTGGACTGCCACCGTAAATGGCACCTGTTTAGACGTGAACCGTACTCTCATGGCACTCTACAACGAGACCCTATCCAAAGAGACCATGGGTATTAAGAGGAAACTGCCAAGCGAAGAATACTTGAAGTAAGGCAGTCACAGGAGAATAGCAAATCACTAAGTTTAAAATGAGACATAGTTACTGAAAGTTCTCATCTATTATATGATTTGAATACGAAACAACTCGACTCGTGAAGATCCGGGGTAGAATAGATCTTCAGCAACCCATGCTTGCCGTAAAAGGCGACTATGCTTGTCGTAAGAGGCGACTAACGAGATCGGGTGGTCAGGCTCGCTGACTTGGTTGAAGCATGTCATCGATCCCAATTGCGTGGATCGATGCTCATGATATCAATCACTTGATTGTCGGGTCCTGACTCGATTATTTATACAAACCGCGGTCATATACAGTAGAATAGGGATATAACGAACTACAATGGACCGGAGAAATCAGTTCGTTATATTCCTTGTTCGTTATATACGTTTTCGCTCTGAAACGTCAGCCATCTTGGCTAAAACAAAATACAATACACATACACGTTTATACACGTTTCCTCCCGCATCTACCGGTGATTCAGTTAAAAAGTACCAACAGTTTAATGCAATGGTCGGACGAAATTGTATCTGAAGTTATTATTTGATCAGAATTAAGATAAACATAATGCAAGTTTACCTAGGTTGAATCGTCACCAGTAATTGTGTTGATTCGCTTCTGATTGCGTACATCCAATTGTCATTAACACTTGACACTGAGTGAAATTTCTCAGTTCGCTATACACGTCACTAATTAGTGGTAGATGGGCTTGTCGGGGGATCAGATATCAGTTGGCTATATCCGTTAGTTCGCTGTAGAGGGTTCGTTATGTACGTAAATTTTATATGATAATATATAGGAGATAAATCGGGGATGTTTTAACAGTTCTTTGTATCGGTTTGTTCGCTCTATCTGTGTTCGTTATATCCGTGTTCTACTGTAGCTGGAATATTGCTGAGTGCGGCGTTAAACAACAAACAAACAAACAAACAAAATACGAAACAACTCACGGAGTTTGTGTTTGGTTCAGCAAGAGAGTTACACTAGTTTGCAGTGGTCCTCGGAGGAGCTACCAAGTCTCAGGTCCACGCTGGAACCGAGGGCGTTCACTCCCATTTTAAACCGACTCAACGTGATAAAGCTGAAAAAATGCTAAACAGGGTGTTAAAGACACTCACTCACTCACTTCTTCTTGCAGCAACGTGGTGCTGGGATCTGGCTTCAGCGACGGGATTGGTGACCTCGGTCCTGTAAGGTGGCAGCTCGTCTTGTGTCTCCTCCTGGCCTGGATATTCGTGGCAGCCACTCTCAGCAAGGGCGTCAAATCCTCCGGCAAGGTGGGTCATGGCAGGTGGGAAGGTTGGTCATGGCAGCCAGATAGTTGGGTCTTGGCAGTCGGCGAGGTGAGGCATGGCAGGTGGGAAGGTTGGTCTTGGCAGGTGGGAAGGTTGGCCATGGCAGCCAGGTAGTTGGGGCATGGCAGCCAGGTAGTTTGGGCATGGCAGCCGGCGAGGTGGGGCATGGCAGGTGGGGCATGGCAGGTGGGAAGGTTGGTCATGGCAGCCAGGTAGTTGGGTCATGGCAGCCGGCGAGGTGGGGCATGGCAGGTGGGAAGGTTGGTCTTGGCAGCAGGCTAGGTGGGGCATGGCAGCCAGGTAGTTGGGGCATGGCAGCAGGTGGGAAGGTTGGTCTTGGCAGGTGGGAAGGTTGGTCTTGGCAGCCGGCGAGGTGGGGCATGGCAGCCAGGTAGTTGGGGCATGGCAGCCGGCGAGGTGGGGCATGATGGCAGGTGGGAAGGTTGGTCTTGGCAGCAGGCTAGGTGGGGCCGAGCAGCCGGCTAGGTGGGTCATGGCAGCCGTCTAGGTGGGCCACGAGAAGGTGGGAAGGTTGGTTATGACAGCCGGTTAGGGGGGTCATCATGGCAGCCGGCGAGGTGTGTCATGGCAGGTGGGAAGGTTGGTCATGGCAAGTGGGACGGTGGGTCATGGCAGGTTGAAGTTTATCATTTTATCTTATGTTCCAGGTTGAAGTATGTCGTTTTATCCTATGTTTCAGGTTGTTTACGTCACCGCAACCTTCCCCTACATCGTTCTGATCATTCTCCTCATCAGGGGTGTGTTGTTGGAAGGCTACGAGAAGGGAATAGAATTCTACATCACACCTAAGCTCGACAGGCTCTATGACGCCAGGGTACGAGATTACAACAGATTTCATCAAAATCCTTAAGAATAGATTTATTTGTTTAACCCTGCAGTATTTGCAATGTACTTTTATCCCGACGTCCCGGCATTTTGTGGGGATGGTAGCCAAAAGGGAAACTGGTATCGGATGGCTACCCCTTGAAGCCCACAAACCCAGTATAGTCAAACCATGAATCATTATCAGGGTGAAACTGGGATTCGGAACCAACATCCTAGGATGTTTTCATGTCTAACGGCCACTCATATGATCACATGGCGTTGCGTGCTGGTGTCATCGTTCCTCAACCCTGTGGATCGTTCATGCTATAAATCGGGGCGGTGGGGTAGCCTAGTAGTTGAAGCGTTGGCCCGTCACGCCGAATACCCGGGTTCGATTCCCCACTGGTTCAATGTGTGAAACACATTTTCCAGAGTCCGCCGCCGCCGTGATATTGCTGGCATATTGCATAAAGCGGCGTAAAACCATACTCTCTCATGCTATCAATCACTTGTACGCCCCGGGTATGCTTATCAATAGGCCTAAGTTATGCAGCGGAAACATTGCTCACATGTGTGTAGCTTGTACTCCCTCACTAATCTCACAAACCAGCTAGGGGGAATTTAAGGCGCCGCGATACGCTGTGCAGAGTTGCGTCCCTTGGGCACGCCAGAAACCTATGGTTGTGGGATCGAATCGCGGTCCGCCCCAATTATGTTTCTAGGTTTGTCAGCACCATACCCCTCCCACATTAACTGACACACCGTGATGTAACTGTAATACTGTCAACTCACTCACAAACCAGCTGACCCGTGAAGAATAGGTCTTCAACAATCCATGCTTGTCGTAAGAGGCGACTAACATCACCAGGTGGTCAGGCTCGCGTTGATTGATGCTCATGATGTCAATCACTGGATTGTCTGGTCCAGACACCATTATTTACAGACCGCCGTCATATAGCTGGAATATTGCTGAGTTCGAGGTTAAACAACAAACAAACAAAAAACACAAACCAGCTGTTTTTGTCTCCAGGTGTGGAAGGATGCAGCTGTACAGATCTTCTTCTCGCTTTCGGCCTCATGGGGAGGACTGATTGCCCTCTCCAGTTACAACAAGTTCCATAATGACGCTTTCAGGTGAGACTGTCGTGCAGAGTTACGTCCCTTTGGTAGGTCTACCGGGATCATTGTATGATCGTTTCTCAGCACAAAACCTGTGCTGCTTTCTTTCGCCAAAGTGGTTACGTGTACGACATTCATCACTTCTTGCTTTCCTCCCACATTAAGGGCGACACGGATGGCCGAAGGCGCCACCGCTGTGTTGAGTTGCGTCCCTTTGGTGATCCAGAAACAAACATCTTGATTTCTGGATTTGTCCACACCACATCCGTCTTCGTGGGTTACACCCGTGGCAAATGCCGAACCCCTTATCAATTTGGACTTTCCTCTCACATTATCTGTCCCGCCTATATATAACTGAAATCATGTTCAAAGCAGCGTTGACCCGTGAAAATCCGAGTTAGAATAGGTCTTCAGCAACCCATGCTTGCTGTAAAAGGTGACTATGCTAGTCGTAGAGGCGACTAACGAGATCGGGTGGTCAGACTGGACCAGTCCCTTGAATGGAACACTGTACCTTCCAGGGTGTGATCCAAACGTTTATGCAATTATTATGATTTCAGGGATGCTCTGTTGGTTTCCCTTGGGAACTGCTTGACCAGTCTGTTTGCTGGTTTTGTCATCTTCTCGTACCTCGGCTTCCTGTCCACTGACCTCAACATGCCCATAGAGGAAGTCGCGGAGAAAGGTATTTCCTTCATTTGAATTAACGAATGTTCATGACATCAAAACTGTGTACATCCAGAAGAACCAAATGTTACGACAGGTCCATCATAGTATCTTTGCCCATGACGATCCAGGTTAGAATAGGTCTTCAGGAACCCATGCTTGCCGTAAATGGCGACTATGCTTGTCGTAAGAGGCGACTAACGGGATCGGGTGGTCAGGCTCGCTGACTTGGTTGATGCATGTCATCGTATCCCAATTGCGTGGATTGATGCTCATGATGTCAATGACTGGATTGTCTGGTCCAGACTCGATTATTTAGACTGCCGTCATATAGCCGGAATATTGCTGAGTGCGGGGTTAAACAACAAACAAACACAAACAAGCTGTTTTTGTCTCCATAGTATCTTTGTAAATATACTACTCAAAAGAAGTTCATGAACCCCCTATTTTTTTCATTTTACTGTAGTTAATCTGCCATGGCATGATGGAATAAGTGTATAATTGTGAAGGAATCGGGTGATCTTGAGCTTCTGTTTAGTTGTGCATAATGTAGAACGTATGGGATCCCCATTACAGCAAATGTTCGTAGATGTTGTCAAACAAATAGCACGTTCTATTCGATATAATGAAACAACCAACGCAGTTAGTTTAATTTCTATTGGCCATTAACTTGCAATGCGTTGTTAGTTGTCGCTTGAGTTCCTTAACAGTTTGAAGTATCTGGTACCACAAGTTGAGTTGTGTAGTATAGGTCTCTCTGTTCAGGGCCCACGCTGACATTTGTGGTGTATCCATTCGCTGTGACCAAGATGCCCATCTCGCCACTGTGGGCCATCCTGTTCTTCATCATGCTGGTCACTCTGGGCGTGGACAGCGAGGTGAGTGGGCGGGGCGCTAGCCTGCAGGTGCATTAGACACATGTTACAACTGATAACGGTCTGACACTGCCAACTCTCTGTCACATTCATACTCAAAATAACAGCGAAACTAACTTGGAACGCGAAGCAGTGTTGTCAGGCAGTCTTATAAATTCAAACCATTCTATTGTGTAACGTTTTTGTTGAAATGTGTTTCTTTTGTACATTCAAAACAAAGTGGGGGGCACGGGTGGCCCAGTCGTCTAAGGCGCCGCGATTCGCTGTGCAGAGTTGCGTCCCTTGGGCACGCCAGAAACCTATGATTGTGGGTTCGAATCCCGGTTCGCCCCGATTATGTTTCTAGGTTTGTCAGCACCATACCCGTGCTCGTGGGTTTCACCGAAGTGGTAAACGTCTGAGACCTGCATCACTTCGGGCTTTCCTCCCACATTAAGCTGACACGCCGCGATATAACTGGAATAATGTTAAAAGCGGCGTTAAACCTATCTCACTCACTCACTCAAAACAAAGTGAAAATTGCACAAAGAGGTGTTTTTGCAATAAAGTAGTATATGTCGAATGTGTTGGTAAGATAGTAAGTAGTAAGGTGTTACAGATGTAACATGAGGGAGCGGAGGAACATTGTTTGTGAGAACTTTCAAAACTTCCTTGGATTTCTGCCAGTAGAGAATAGGTTAGATTATTGTAAAACATCAAACGTCTGTCAAGGTATGAATATTATGGAACGTTTCAATGCTTATTGAAACATTGTCTATGATCATCATCCATTTGAAATTTTGGGTATGTGTAACAATCAAACTTGGCATATTAGATTTAAAATGTGGTTACCATATATTGTATTTATAACGGTACATGTTGGCGCTGGAGTTTTCACTTTTTTATACTTTCTTGTATAAAGTGAGTGTGGGGTCGGGGCGTTATGAGACACTTTGCCCACTTTCCTCTCATGCTACAATTAACTGATTCTGTGTTGGCCAGACTGGTTTGTTCTACTGGGTAAACTCCACCTGTTTCCTCTTCAGTTTGTCCTGGTCGAGACCGTCACCACCTCCATCATGGACATGTTTCCCCAGACCCGGAAGTACAAGACCTTCACGGTGGTCACGTGCTGCGCCGTGTTCTTCCTGCTCGGCCTGACTCTCACCACTAATGTAAGCCCTGCGTTAATTACTCGTGTAATATATATATATATATGATAGCTACGCGATAAATCGACCGTGTGCGAAATACGCATCAGTCGGAAAACGCACGTTAAATCTCCAAAGTAAGTAAGTAAATCGCAAAGAACAATGACGAACGAAGCGTGGTTTAATTCACGATAAAACGTTGTTCTATCATGACGTCATGTCTGGAGATTCGAACATGCGCACGAGAGGGAAGTGTCTAGAGTGGGTTGTTCCCCATAGATGTAGCTGGGCAAAGCAGATAAACGCAGCGGCCGAACAATCGCACCTCAAATGTCGGAGATATGACAAACCGTATTGGGAGGAAATATGTTTATTGTACGAAAAACAACTCCCACTCGTCGTTTATTTCTTATATATGTATACTCACCGACAAAATAAACGCGAATACCATACATGTTGGTTAGAGATATTAGATATTGTAAAATAACACAAGCAAAGATGAAGTTTGACAGTCCAAGTTTGTAATGGCGTTTACAAACTGTATGTTTAATTTTGGTTTTAATGTCAATTTTAACAATGTGGACAAAAATTATTAACAATGTGATGAAAAATTATGCCAATAAATACCCCCAGTTTTGATCAACTGCTATTAAGTCTATTTGATTTTATTAACAGGGCTCAGTCTCCAAAAAAGTAATAATATTAAGTTATATTAGCTTTCTTGTCTTGAAAACATGTTATTATAAGTAATAAAATGTCAAGAGATTACTTCTTAATTTGGCCTTAAAATGTATCAAAATATGTTACTAGTGGTAGTGAATGATAAGTAGAAGTGTCCAAGACCTTGACCCGTGATCGTCACGACAAACAGAATTTGTGCTAATATCTGATACAATGATATTTAGGACAAGGATAGATTCAGACCAAGCGACTGGGAGGACAGTTTGACAGACGTCAAACGTACGCTAAGACCATTGGCAAAATAGGCTTATAGGAGAAAATATGCCCTCATTCCAAGTATTGATGTTGCCCTATATGTCCTTGAATAATTCGGACAGTAACACGATTAATTAAAATACTTGGCAAATATTAACAGAGAAACGGACAAACAGATTGTCAATATTGCCTTGAACTGTCGGCAATGAAATGTCATAACAGAACGACTGTCATATTGCAGACCTGTACAAATGCAAGAAACATGGGAATGTATATGTTGTCCTCTATGTGTCTGAATATTGCAAATCTAGATTAGACTGCAGGAAAATACTTTATCATGAATCTATGACTGTGATGTGAAAACGGTCATCCAAGCTATAAACAGTCACTATGCCAAGCGTAAACATAATTGACAGGTCACCGTAACCTTAGAAATGTCAAACAGATCAAATGAGTTATTCAGTGCGATCAAGTGTAATTATCATTAATATCCAAAGCGAAATATACTTTGAAACATTTTAGAGCAAGAAAGTTATCAGAAAATCTCCAATAACCAGTGTATTAGGTCATTGTTTATCTGGATCAAATGTCAACTTACTCAGTTACTGTCTCAAAATATCCACGATGCAAGAGTGTATACAAGAAATAGTCCCTGACAAACACCGTTCTTATCACTCAAAATACATCATGAATCCAAACAGTGAACAAATATAATCACAAGGTAACATGGAATGCATCAACCTGTACAATCATAGTGCATAATGATAACAGTAGGTATATTATTCATGAATGTAAATAGCGTAGTGACACACACTGGTAATCAGGTCATTCCTGACAAGTGCTGCTCGCGCGAACGTTCAGTGATAGATAAACATAGCTATCAACAGTGAACATGGCCCACAAAGTTGATTCAGATAGATGAAGTTCATTTCCAGGTAACTATCTATGGTACTATAATCTTATTATTTACTTTAATGTGAAAATTATGTATGGACATTTGCAGATGGATCGTGATATAACGAAAATAGGTGACACTTATGATGGACAAGGTTTACTAAATGTATTTTAATTACAATTATTGCTTATATTGGACTTCTGTAACAATATGTATATCGTTTAAGGGAGGGGGGTGGGAGGGTTGCTTGCGCACAGCTGCGTTAGTGTTGAAGGCGTCATTATGGAATAATATATGTGTATACTAGGGCTGCAATGAATAACCTATGAGGCGAATACGATTCGTATCACGAATCTAGGGTAATGAATACGAATATTAGGCCTAATTCACGAATACAATAATACGTCAGCAGTTGATGTATTATTTGTTATATTCAGTGAAACATTAACAACATAAATTATTTGACACGGTTTGTTAATTATTTATATTATACATTTATATACTGCACTTGTCCAGGTACTTAGTCTTAGTATCTGCTCAAATGCTACAATGACCAGTCACCAAATTCCTGTCAAATTAAATATTATAAGAGTGGTGTCTGTAAAGAAACCTATGCATATCATATGTTCTTATGGACATTTTAGGTACAGGGTATGTAAATGCACATGATTGCATATTCATAAATATTCGATTCTAGTGGCAACAAATAACGAATTCAATTCATGAATGGATACGGTTCGATTCACCGAATACGTGAGTGAATCGTAGCGGCCCTAGTGTATACATGTAGGGCTTTATGTATATATGTTGGGCAGTCTTGTGACTGTAAGGATCTGTGTACACTGTAAACTGCGACTGTGTGACCTTGTCTCGTACAGGGCGGCCTGTACATGCTTGACCTGATGGACACCTACGCTGGTGGATGGAACGTGCTGGTCATCTCAGTGTGTGAATGTATCGCCATCAGTCTCGTTTATGGTAAGTCAAATTCTATATCCTTTGATTTCTCAAACCAAATAGGGGACCTGGGTGGACCAGTCGTCTAAGGCACCACGATTCACTGTGCAGAGTTGCGTCCCTTGGGCACACCAGAAACCTATGATTGTGGGTTCGAAATCTTCCCTCCGATTATGTTTCTAGGTTTGTCAGCACCATACCCGTGCTCGTGGGTTTCACCGAAGTGGTAAACGTCTGAGACCTGCATCACTTTCTGGTTTTATCCCACATTAAGCTGACAAGTCACGATATAACTGGAATAATGTTCAAAGCGACGTTAAAAACCCAACTCACTCACTCACTCTCCAACCAAATGAGTAGCGGGTCATTTGTACATCCATCGGTCATTCTATATCATCAGAGGAAGGATGGTCAGGCGCTAAAACTCGATGTGTAGGGCCGCTGAACCACAAGAAGTCCATGGTATTTTCTACCGGGAGATGCGGGGTAGAATAGGTCTTCAGCACATACTTGTCATGAAAAGCGGCTATGCTTGTGGTAAGAGGCGACTAACAGGATCGGGTGATCAGATTCGCTGACTTGGTTGATGCATGTCATCATATCCCAAATTGCGTGGATCGATGCTCATGATGTCAACCACTGGATTGTCTGGTCTAGACTCGATTATTTACAGACCACCATCATATAGCTGTAATATTGTTCAGTGCGTCGTTCAACAAACAAACAAACTTTATTGTTTCGTTTGCAAATACTACATGGGGCCTCCGAGGTGTGTACAATTGTATCGGATCATCGACGGGAGCCAAGTAGACATTTAGGATCATGGTGGGTGCGGCATTAAACAGCAAACAAACAAACTGGGAGCATGACCTTCACGAATAAGGGTTGGTAGACATCCAATCTTCACAAAGATCTTCACTGTAAACACTCCTGACCAATGCCTGTACTGTTTGTCTTTCTAGGTGTGAGGCGGTTCCTCAATGACATTGAATGCATGATTGGAAAGAAGGTGTGCGGCTTCATCCCGTGGGTGATCATCAAGTACTGGTGGGCGGCCTGCTGGGTCTTCATCACCCCCTTCGCTGTGACCGTGAGTAATTTCCCTATATATATATATATGTTGCCCTGATCCTACTGTCTCAGATTTAAGAAACCAATGATCTTACTAGGTTTGTCGTCACTCCACCTGTGCTCTTGGAATACAGCTATTACACTGACGACTTGTTTTTGTATATTCAGCTGATCTCATGTGTGGACAAATTATATGCTTTATTACAACGTATTCTTTATGATAAAAAGGGGGCGGTCGGGTAGCTTAGTGGTTAGAGCATTTGCTCGTCACGCTGAAGACCCAGGATCCCCGACATGGGTACAATATGTGAAGCCCATTCTGCTGCCTCCCACCATGATATTGCTGGAATATTGCTAAATGTGGCATCAAACCATACTCACTCACTCTTTATGATAAATGTTTTACATCGGTATTCTACCACTTCCCCGGTAATTATGACACTCAACATTGTTCTTTGATGTTGGGTAGGTTCTCAATAAGACTGGATGCGCTCTTGGCATGTGTTGTCTGGAATTGCCAATATATAAAAGAGCATAAGCCATTATCATCAATAATAGGGGCGTTCGCTCGTCACTCCGAAGACCGGGTTCGATTCCCGACATAGGTACAATGTGTGAATCCAATTTCTGGTGTCCCCCGCTGTGATATTGCTGGAATATTGCTAAAATCAGCGTAAAACCAAACTCACTCACTCATCAATAGTAGCAGTATCAAATAGATGTTATGGCTTCTTGTTGCAGTGTGTCATGGTGTTCTCATGGTATGATTACACCCGTTTGGATGGCTACCCGCTATGGGCTGACGCTCTAGGATGGTTGATGACATTCGTGGTCATCCTTGGCATCTTTATTCCTGCTATCATCTACCTCTGCATCACACCAGGAACTTGTGGCGAGGTAAGTATATACACTGTTTGAAGCACTTACCCGGCCCTTCGTGTGTGTGTGCTGATCAGCTCCAAGGATGAGACAGTCGTGGTTCAGAATCCTTGATTGTTGATGTTTGGCCTGTCAGGTGTCTCTCATTGGTTTCCTTTAGTGGCAAACGCCCTGTTGTCCCACTTGAGCTGATGCATGACAGTAGGAAGCATTCCTTAAACAGGGGACCAGTGAAGATCCGGGGAAGAATAGGTCTTCAGCAACCCATACTTGCCGTAAAAGGCAACTATGCTTGTCGTAAGAGGCAACTAACGTGATCGGGTGGTCAGGTTTGCTGACTTGGTTGATGCATATCATCAATCCCATTTGCTAGGATCGATGCTCATGATATTAATCACTGGATTGTCTGGTCCAGACTTGATTATTAATACAGACCTCCGTCATATAGATGAAATATTGCTGAGTGCGATGTTTAACAAAAAAAACAAACAAACAGCAACCTTAAACAGGATTGAACTGCTTCACTGATTGAATCGGAAGACCCAATGCAGTCTGGGCTAAATATGGTTGATACAATAATGGCAACCGATGAAACTCGATCGTGGCTGTGAAATATCATATTCAGTAACGCAGTACCCATAATATTCACTACAAATACACATTCCAAAGGTAAATGCAATGAAGCTGTGTTAGTTCTGTCAACGTAAAGCACCATCAATCAATCGGTCAAACCTTACTGTTGTTTATCTTGTTAGTCAAATTCAATCTTCAACAGAAATTACGGACACTGACGAATCCACTGGTTGAATGGGGTCCCGCCCTCGTGAAGCACAGACGCCTTGTGGCTCGCTACGTCCCGAATTACGTGGTGGATCCCTGGGGAAAGGAGGACCAGAATGGCATCGCACCTTCTGATATAGCTGTGGAGGTAAAGATCTGAACAACCGTCAAGGTTGTTTTTTTCCCATACACCAGGCGTTTACTCATGCTTTAACCGTAACGCCTCCGTTGTCTAGTGGTAGAGCGTCCACATGGAGAGTGGAAGGTTCGGGGTTCGATCCTCGGCCGCATCATACCAAAAGACGTCAAAAGATGGTACTTGTTGTTACCCTGTTTGGCGCTCGGCATAAGAAGCTAGAACAAGGACTGGTCGGCTCGGAGTGCCTGAGTGGGGTATTCATGTTAAACTGGGGTATGGTATCTCAGTGTGCTAGCACTATAAATCGGCATCAGTCCCGACCAGTACAAGCATACACACACACGTGTATGAACGTCGCTATATAAGTGAAATAATCTTGGACTAGATGTTTAACCTCACCTCACCTCACCTCACGCTTTAACCATTGTGATGACTTCACTCTATTGGTGCATTTGATTCAGAGACCCGAATTCGTTTGCCAACTCTGTATGTGCATTTTAACATGTAGGATCAACAAATTCGAGCGATAACTATTTTCCATTACGAACCATAAAGATACTTTTCAATATCAACACTCACTAAATCAACATTACAGTAATTTACACAGTAACTTGTTGTTTTTTTTGTTACTGTTTGTATTTTTTGTGTTTTGGGATGGGTTACCCTCGGTGTTATGTTTGTGTTTTGGGGGAGTTGGGTTCGATTTGTCTGTTCCTTGACAGAATAGGTGACCAGTTCAATATGATTGTCGTGAGAATCGTCACAGATGTTCTGCCGCCAGTTTAGCTAAATGCTTGTCATTGTGTACATGGATCGTTACTCATGCTTTCAGTGGGGCGGTCGGGTAGCCTTGTGGTGTAAGCGTTCACTCGTCATCCCAAAGACCCGGGTTCCATTCCCGACATGGGTACAATGGGTGAAGCCCTTTTCTGGTGTCCCCCCGCCGTGATATTACTGGAATATTGCTAAAAGCGGCGTAAAACCATACTCAATCATGCTTTCAGTCACTGGTTTCTATGGTAAAGACTTTAATGGCAGAAATATTGCTGACTGTTTAACACTTCATAATCTAAGGGGCTACGGGTGGTCCAGTAGTCTAAGGCATGGCAATTTGTTGTCCAGAGTTGTCCCCTAGAGAAACCTATGAGCGTGGTCTCAAGTCCTTGTTCGCTCTGATTATGCACTAAGTTTTGTCAGGTCAAGCTCATGGGTATCGCTAAAGAGGTAAACGTCAAAGACCTACCTCCCACATTAAGTTGACAAGCTGGCTATAGCTGAAATACTAGTTAAACCAACACACCCACTCGCTCATTGGTACAACATATCTGAAAGCATCAGTGATCACTGACCCCACTGATCCCACCACTGCCTCCGTAGTCATACCAAAATACAAAGACACTAATAAATGGTACTTATTGTTACCCTGCCAGCATTAATGGGATAAAACAAGGACTGGTCAGCTCGGAGTCACTATACAATGTTGGAGTGGGGTATCCATGTAACACTGCAGCATGGTACCTCTGTGGGCTAGCACTATAAAGCCGATACTGGTCCGGACTAGAACAAGCACTCACAAGTGTACACACGTCACTATATACACAACTACTAAAAGAAGTTAAAGGCAACCCGATTCTTTCATATCACTATGATCAATCTGTCATAGCAGATGTTTGCCGTAAGAGGTGACTAACGGGATCGGTTGGTCAGGCTCGCTGACTTGGTTGATGCATGTCATCGTATCCCCATTGCGTAGAACGATGCTCGTATCAATCACTGGATTGTCTGGTCCAGACTCGATTATTTTACAGACTGCCGTCATATAATTGTAATATTGCTAAGTGTAGCGTTAAACAACAAACAAACATGGCAGATAGACTATAGTAATGTAAAATAGATCGGGTGGTCCTTGACTATTTTTGAGTAGTATAAGTGAAACCCATTTCACCGCACACATTCCACCACTTTTTTGTTCAGATGCAAGATGCACCTGGCTACACACCAAGTCCGGAATACTACGCCCAGAAAATGTGAGAACTACTACAGCAACGTCTACAACAGCTACTACAGCTATAACTACAACGCAGCGATCAACATTCTCACGATCACGTCTGTTAGTTTGGACATAAGGGGCAAATGCCATTGCATGGAAGTTGTGTGTCCAAGGAAGATAACTATTCAAGACCCATAGAGCATCAAGCATGTAGCATTTCCCCTTCTCTTGTGAGTTAACCTTGGAGAAGAGTTACGCCATAACTGGTTTGGGATACCCGTTAATGTATTGTATAGTTACAAACATGTCGACGAAACCCCAATAATTGTAAATGCAGTGAGTGGATGATCACATGTAAATATGTACAAAGTTGTTAGAACATTCAAGTGCTTGAAGGTCAGGATCATTTGTCGGGTTGAGGTCGTTGCTACATTTTTACAGGACTACATTTGTTTTCACGTGTTACTTTCTTTACTGATGTCAGAGCCATTGATTCCATCGCCCCCATTGACATAAAATCGCAAAAGCAACCGGGTTGTTAAGTCATCAAGGATGTTCCATCGGGTGAAGCTGACATGCAAGTTATACTTGTAAGCAGAAGAGTGTTCAAAGCAGTGTAAAACCAAACTCACTCGGTGGAGCTAAGAGAAAGTGTAAATCAAAGAAAACATGAAATTATAGGTTTTTTCTCTGAATGCAAAATATAAGAGTATTGTCCCTTTCCATACTCTACAAGCTCCTTCCAAGCGTGTGACACCTTTGTTACACTCTCGATAACAGTGAGCTCAGCACAAGGGCTATCGCTGTGAGGAGCTTGATCATTCTAAATGTAAATCTCGCAACTCATCGGCTTTGGAAATAAGGCGTCATTAATACATTACATTTGTAACGGATGTATTTGTAAACCAAGTAAATCCTTGTCTACGCCTTATATATGTTATTGCACTGTAAGTTCTTAAATGATTGTGTCAGATGTAGGCAGTGTTCTATGGGGTAAGGCATGTTGAATGGTATATATATATATGCAATATTTGTACACATACATATATAGTTGGAACAATGTATTTTAGATAAAATCATGAAAAAATATTTTCTTTCTATGAAGCAAAGATTTTAGAATACAGGACTTTACTGATCTATATATGTTTACAAGAAGATAGATTTTTTTTAAACTTTTGTAATAAAAATCACATACTTGTGTCAAATGGACTTTGTTTTGTGGTATATTGCCTAAGTTAACATACTGATTGAAAGACGGTCAAATGGGCATTGCGACATTTCTCCGGAGAAGGTAACGTCAACTGTCCGACAGTTCTTCTGTGGCGGTTGAGTATACAGTGCGACATTTATGTGACGGTTGCGTCGTCTGTGTGGCAGTTCCTCGCGTAGGCAGCGGTGTCTGTCACCCCAAAAGACGTTAATAGATGGTACTTAATGACTGGTCAGCTCGGAGTTAAACTTTAAACTCCCATTTCACCTCGGCTCCTCAGCGGTTTTTAGTGACAACAGCGTCAACAACAGTACGACTGTTGTAACTCAGCAGCATTCATAGTACTTCAGTTCCGACAGTAAGACAGATCTCACTAAAGCCAACATGTGATGGTATTTTAACAGTACTGAGTGAAAGAAGCCGAGCATTCGTGACCAACTCGTGCCATCCAGGAACAAAGCTAATGTAGGTTACATAAAGATACGAAAGGTGAGAAATGGATAGCCGGGTTGTACGACATAACCAAGGTTCTCCGTGAAGTTGATAGTTGTCGAGGCAGTGATGACAGTACATTGGTTTGACTTCGTATCACGCCACATGATGATTTCCCGAAACGACAAAGTTTGGTTCTTTGCACACAAAGAAAGATCACCAGGCCCATGTATAAGATATCTTGCATGATTTATTTGATAATGCAATTGGGATACGATGACATGCATCAACCAAGTCAGCGAGCCTAACCACCCGATCCCCCACAGTCGCCTCTTACAAGCATAGTCGCCGGCAAGCATGAGTTTTTGAAGACTTCAAGGGTTACTTCATTTAGTGAAGTGAAATATGTTGACTCAAAAATGTTTTATATAGATAAAAAATAGGTAAAAATTATATATAAGGTTGTACATATGGTGTTGCTAGAAAAGAATCGTAACACTTTGGTTTACAAATATGAACAATATTTTGAAAAAGTCTCATACATTAAAACAATAAAAAATACGTCTCTTCTGACCAGTCTGAAACAACTCCTGGATGTGGGCATGCCATGACCGGCTGCACAGAGTTGTCTTCCTTTGGCACTCCAGGATCCTATGATGGATTTCTCAGCACCCTACCAAAGAAAGTCATCATTGGTCAGTAAATAAAAATATATTTTTTCGGGTTTCACCGAAGTGCCACTGTGGTAAAAATGTCTGAGACCTGCATCACTTCGGGCTTTCATCCCACATTAAGCTGACACGCATAATGTTAAAAGCAGCGTTGAACCCAACTCACTCTAAGACCTGTTCAGAGTGGCATTTAACTCAATTATAGTACTCGCTACTTGAAATAGAATCAGGAAATATTGCCATTGATAATGAACCAAGATAGTTACGTGTTCTAATACTTCTAAAGTGAAAACAAGCCATTCTGGTGATACAGAATATTACTTATGGTTAGGACAAATTGCAAAGTGCGCTTTTAAAAGATGTTTCAACCATTAGGCTGAAGATCACCATTGAGTTTTGATCACATAGTTACAATCTCAGTAAGGATTAGCAGTCATGTGTCTATGAGCATGTTCAGCAGTGCGTGCATCTGGAACTAGGTCAATAGCACTTTAAATGGTACATGTGGACGTTTTTCTGTCAGTTTGTACCAGTAATCTCGTGAGTGCAGCGCCAGCTGTAAGTTAGTATGTTTGATTCCAGGTTAACTCTGAACATGCAACATATTCATTTACATGCTTGTCCAGTCTAATAATCGAGTCTAGACCAGACAATTGAGTGATTGACATAAGCATCGATCCACACATTTGGGATAGGATGACATGCATCAACCAAGTCAGTGAGCCTGACCACCCAATCCCATAAGTCGTCTCTTACCCCAAGCATTGGTTGCTGATGATCTGCCACAGGATCTTCACAGGTCTCATTAACATGCAATACAATTACACCTAACTTTCATTAAAAAATTTGGCTAGATTTTCATTACCATTTCTATTTACATTTGGTAATGTATTGACTGCATTGTGGTCTTATTACTGCTTCCTCTTTGACAATATCAAGTTATCTATAATTGTAATTTAAAGATGACTTCTAACTTTAGAACCCAGACTAGTTGGTTCTACACTGCTATTGACTTTGTTCAAGATGCATGCACTGCTAAATATAACCACTCAGAGTCAGCTGATGATAACCCGTGATTCTGTTTCTAGTGGGGAGGTTGGTTGGTTTGTTGTTTAACGCCGCACTCAGCAATAGTCCAGCAATATGACGGCGGTCTGTAAATAACCGAGTCTGGACCAGACAATCTAGTGATTGAAATCATGAGCATCGATCCACGCAATTTGGGATCGATGACATGTTTCACTGAAGTCAGCGAACCTGACCATCCGATCCTGTTATAGCCTCTTTCGACAAGCATGGGTTGCTGTCACAACTTGCTGAAGACCAATTCTACCCCGAAATGTTTCCCAGGGATACAGCAACCCAAGGTGTTTGACAATAAACAACCCAAAGTAAGTCAAATTGTGGACATTTTATTACATCTTATAATATGACAGAATAAATATACAGTGTCCAACCCAATCTGACCCTGTCCTGTCGTTGAGAGATGGGCTCTGCAAGTCTATAAGCCTCATCTTCCAGCAGGGGACTCCTGGCCACTGGTGAGTGCAGTTTGTTAATAACAGAAAAGAAATGAGTTCCACGACTGCATGAAATTCCCTCTATGAATGCTTTCCAGCAGAACTGTACAGTAGTGGCCCCTGCTGTATCTGGTGCCACATGCATGGGCTCAACTAAAACACACTCCATCAACCTATACTTCCGTAAATAGTCAGAGAGTTTTTGTTGTAATGTCCAATGCCTGCAGACACAGACAGCTGAGATGATGGATGGTATCAACAAGCTTCTACCATACCTCATTCCCTGAAAAAAAAGAGAGAAAAAAATACCTGTAAAATCTTTCATGTCTCTTGATAAATAAAACTGATTAGTATCCTTAACAAAGTTGAGCAGTATGTACAAGAAAATTGTTTCATGCACATACCGGAAGTTAAATTCAGTATTATTCTGAATAAACCATTGGATATGCGGTATCTGTTCAAGAAATGACTTATTTATATGTTTGTGTTTATGGAGGTACATCCATACAGTGATCTCACTTGGAATGTATTTATTCTGTATTACACTGTTGGATAAACAATTGGATCATAAGTACAATCGACAAATCCTGAACGAACACAACATGTAGATGTCTGCATGGTAAGTCATTCTTACCTAATAAAAGATGTTTGATCAAGCCATGACAGAGGGAGCATAGTTACGAGATATCCGGTCAAACTCACTCTCCTGAAACACATGAATATTGGTCAGGAATATTGGTTGGAACATCAACATTATGGAACAAATAGTTAAGGCTTAAAAAATAAAAGAATTGGTTCTCAGGCAATGACTTTTGGAAATAAAGTGTGGGCTAGTTCGGTGGTATTTTTTTCTTTTGCTTTTTCAAACTGGTATGTAACCAAATAAACAGTTGTGTACTATCAACTTGGAAAAGGGCAGCCCTACATAAACAAGCATACAAACTCATTGCTGCCATGACCATAACATGCGATGCGCAGTAATGCAGTGTGCATGTAAAGGGAAGTAACTGTGTGCTTTTTTGGATCGCAATGTGTTTAAGTATTAGGATTTTTATATTTTTTTGAAAATGGAAATAAAAACGAAACGTGCAGCAGACTTTTTGATGATGTGGACGGTGCCTGAGAACCAAGACTATTAATTTTCTTAGCCAAGAGGACATTCTTTTCATTACAATCCCTTAGAAATTATTTGGGACATTTTGAAAACAGTCTGTCCGGAGATCGGGACAAAACCAAAGCATGTTACTCCATTTGTCAGTTGTAGAGGGCAACAAACCATGCGTGGGTGAGGATGGTTTTACGCCGCTTTTAGCAATATTCCAACAATATCACGGCGGGGAACACCAGAAATGGGCTTCACACATTGTACCCATGTCTGGAATCGAATCTGGGTTTTCGGCGTGACGAGCGAACGCTTTAACCACTGGGCTGACCGACGCCCCCACCATGCATTGATGAACATTCTCAGACTATTAAGGAAGTAACATGCTTTTGTAGTTTCTGACAAACAGTCCTATTGAGTCTGGAATATATGATGAAAGCTGTCACAGGTGAGGATATTGATTTTTCCACAAAATGGGGGATGAACTGGAAACTGCAAAAATGGTAACACATATTTCAGAAAACACTTTGCATTTACTAGCCAAAATTCAATCGAGCGCCATTTTGGCCAACAGATTTATTAGTTTTATGTGACATGATCGTTATGCTTTTGGACCCGTGTATGCATCATGAGCTGTCCTACCTTGAGGAGATAATCTCGGACAAATGGGTGGCTTCGATGGGAGTCCTTCAGTTGCGACACGTAACGATTGCTCACCTGAAATAGTTACATATGCTGTTTTATTACAATTGCATGTTTCTATGTTCTTGAAAACTACTCACTTGCTCAAAAGTCCTAAATGACAATAAATACATTATAACTGAAAGTAACAACTCACATCCAAAATTAAGTAGTTCACCCAAGGAATGTAATGATTCAAACATTCCCTACCTTCCTAACAGTGGAAAAAGAGAAGACATAAAACCCACTTCTAAAATGTTTGTATGACCAGTTTACACTTACTCGATGAACTCAAAAATACTATCAGTCAGCAATTCCTTAAATGAAAAGCATACCTCATACCAGTTGTATCACAGTGACCTGTGATGGATTACATTCATATCAGTGGACCAAGAGAAGAGAGATGAGTAAACAACAAGTACTGCCTCACTACCCATGGGTTAGGATAGGTCTTCAGCATCCCACACAAAAGGGGACTAGCGGGATTGGGTGGTCAGGCTCGCTTACTTGGTTGATGAATGTCATTGATCTCAATAGTGTGGATCAATGCTAATGATATTGATCACTGGATTGTCTGGTCCAGACTTGGTTATTTACAGACCGCTGTCATATAGCTGGAATATTGCAGAGTGCGGTGTTCAACAACAAACAAACAACACTGCCTCGCTTGCTGAATGGGAAACTTAAGGGGTAGCAATGTGAAGCAATCTCATTAAAATCAGATCTTAGTTTTCGCTACCGCTAAACAAAGATCTGAGGACATCCCATTACTGATCACGTCAGAACGACCTTTCGCGAATTTTGACCAACCAATGAAATGACTGACAAGAAATCAACATTAGCCAATCAGAAAGCAACTTTCTCAAGCTTTACGACACTAGTTTCAAACTGGCAACTATGCTTCGAAACATATTTTGACGTGTTCTCGATTAAAAATTTTAAAACTGATAAGAAGGACATTCTGGAATGACTTATAGATGGCCTAGATTGTATGGATATAATCATAAAACCTGTAACTGTCGTTCTTAATACCCCGTGTTAAATATTTCGTGGTCACATGATTAGAAAACACATTCCGACTGTCACTTTCATTATCTGGTAAGCGACGCTCTGATTGGTTGGATGAAAGGTCGTTCAGACGTGACCCGTAATGGGATGTCCTCAGATCTTTGTTTAGCGATAGCGAGAACTAAGATCTGATTTTCATGAGATTGCAATGCGAAGAGTGTTAACATCTGTAACATGGTGTCCGCCTGCTGAGCTTACCTCAGGGGCCTTCCCCATGTGCTGTGTGAGGAGGATCATGTTGACCAGGGTCTCCGGGTTGTTGCTGTCCTGAAACACAATCGGCTGGATGAGAAACACTCCTTGAATCATCGATTGAATCATCCTTGAATTGAAAACCCTTTGGTTTGTCACTACCTTACCCGCACCCTAGACATCAAGATCTGCATCACTTTTCATCATCCTCGTACCTACAGCCATCCCGGAACCTAAGCAACTGAAATACCATCATCCACTCATTCACTGTCTTGACAGGTGGATGAGGCGTCAGTGACTGAGTTTGGATTAACGCAACCTCAAACAGCTTTTCAGTTACATCATGACGTGTCAGTTTCATGTGGGAGGAAAGCACAAAGTGATGCTTGTCTCAGACATTTACCCTCTTTGTGAAACCCATGGGTATGGTGCTGACAAATCTAGAAACATAATCAGGGTGAACTTGGATTCGAACCCACAATCACAGGTTTCTGGCAAGATGTCACAGATCTAAATATTTCCTTCACTAAATCCTTTGAGGTTTTCATAGCTTGGTAACCTACTATATTTGCCACAATAAGCGCCCTTAGACTAATCTGTAATTAATCTTTAGAGGCACCCCCACTAAGAGTCCCAAAACTAACATGACCGTCAGTATTTACTTTGAATACAGAAAACTGTAGCATAGAAGGGGTATATAATTGTTCAGTACCAGTAACTATCATTGAAAACAGAGTTTTATCAACATTTTAACTAATCATGTTCACTACCACTTGATTTCTGAAAACAAATTTAACTTCTTGTGGGTGGTCTTAAAAACACCTCTCTTTGTCAGTTTTTTAAGTGACAAGGGCTCGTATTATGGTGAAAGTGGTAACTTAATTTTGAACATTGTTGAAAAGGTTTCTGTTTTGATTAAGCCACCTAAGTCTTAGTGAGATATGATGCACCCGATGAGGGTGATTGTTTCTCCTCACCTTGTCCATTGCCTCCTGCAACACCGACTCAGCATCATCAAGCCTGCTCTGGGCCATGTAGCACACCGCCTGACCATTGAGGAGCAGCGGGGTGGATGCATGCTTGTCACTCATCTCCTGGAAGATGTAGTAGGCATCCTGGTACTTGTCTCCTCCCTGGAAACAAGCAAAACATTAGAGAGATGGGAAACATCAGAAAGATATGGGAAACATTAGAGAATTGAGAAACATTAGTAACATGTGGGAAACATCAGAGAGGATAGGAAACATTATAGAGATGGGAAACATCAGAGAGGATAGGAAACATTATAGAGATGTGGGAAACAGAGAGATGTGAAAAATTAACAAAATGGAAACAATAGAGATAAGGGAAACATGTAAGATAAGGAAACATCAGTTAGTTGGTTGTTTAATGCCAAAATGCAATATTCCAGCTCCTGATGTCAGCTATCCCAATTGAGCAGAGAACACTTAACAAAGTCTGTCCAGCATGGGTCACCTTTGCAATGAGCCTGACCACACCTTAGTCACTCCTTATAATGAGCAATAGAGTTGTGTGGGCCTTTACTCTGGGCCACTGAGTATCTATGTGCCAGGGTACTCACAACAGAGATGTTAAACCAGGCCTGTGCCAGCTGGGTAAGGATGCTGTCCTCATCCAGTTCCTGCATACGCTTCAGCTCCTTCCTGAAAAATGGACATATCATTGTTATCGGTTCTGTGTAATCAGTAAGCATTTGGATGGTTAATGAGAAGTGCCCTGAGATTTCATTTGGAATCAACAACACTCATGTCCATTTGTTTGACAATGTAACATTACTAGATTTGGGGAGAAAACAAGTATTCCTACACAATTTTGTCAAACACTGATCTTGGATAAGTGGACGATTGGATGTGTCTAACCCTGTTAACAGTACTCTTAAGTCATACATCCATAATCTGCACCACCAAATTTGACATATGTTGTACGTTGGCTCCAGGACCCACTTGCACAAAGCCATCTTAGCGCTAAGATTATCTTAAGCCTATATTAAAGTTTGGGAGTTACGATCATTTTTGCGATAAGATTGCTTTGTGCAAGTGGGACCAGGTCTTACCATTTTGAACTCTCGTCATTCCAAAAAGGATGTGATTTTTCTTATAAATACATGCATTTGTCTTCTAATGTTCAGGCATTTAAGTTCAGATAGTTGATAAGGCAATCATTATCAAATTCCAATCCAATATACCAAAGGTAACATTAAAGTTGTCTCATATTTGTTTCAAAAGTATTGTTTCTGCCATCATCCGTGTTAACAGAGATGTTGGTGAAGGGAGACAACTCTGGAGAAAATGTCTTACTTTGCCAGGTCAACTCGATCCAGTTTCAGCAGGATCTGCACAGTAAGAGCAATGCTGCAACAAATCGTCCAAAATTACAGTATGGAAACAGAGCTATATTCCTCATAATGTCTTATTCCAGTCTGTCATTATGTTGTCTGATGTAAAAACTTGCATAATGAAATGTGCATATCCTAAATTACAGCCTTTTTTCACATGCAGCATCTATTATTCAACTCACTTTGTTAAACTTCATGCACAATTACTTCACAATCTTACCATTCCAGGTTGTCTGACTGGTGCAGTGTTCTGAGTGCAGAATCAAAGTTCTGAAATAGATAAGTAAAGATAGAGACATAGAGAAAAGAGTTTATTTCTGAAATAGAATCAAAAAGGAAATCAAATATATAAAAGAGACAAATCTCACCCATGCCTTGACGTTTACGACATATTGACAAGTGTTGATGCAGCTGATATAACAATTTGTAACAAGTGCAAGTTGTGCATTTTTTTATTTTTCAAAATTTAAAGCCTTACTCCATTGTCTATGTAAAGAAGCATCATATGAACGTCCTCTGAAGTGGGAAAACAAACTGTTCAAATCAATATGCTAATGGTTACTTAGGTGAAGAGTTGACAAGTAGGCAGTATTTCTCTGTCAAATGTTTGTTTGTTGTCAGCAATATTCCAGCTATATGACGGTGGTCTATAAATATTCAACTCTGGACCAGACAATCCAGTGATTGACATGAGCATCTATCTACTCAATTGGGGTACAATGACATCATCATCTAAGTCAGTGAGCCTGACCACCCAATCCTGTTAGTCGCCTCTTATGACAAGCATAGTCGCCTCTTACAAGCATGGGTTGCTAAAGACCTATTCTAACACGGATCTTCCTGGGTTCTCTGACAAATTAATACTCTACCTTGTAGTAGCCAAGGACATGTTATGCAAGGCTGATAATGTATAATCAGCAGAATCATAGACTCATAACAAAAGCTCATGTTGATGATGTCAAAGTTGTAAAAGCTGCAGTGTTTGTGGTAGTAATTTTCATCACCAGAGTGATATGTGTTGGAAGCCAGTAGGAGATATATATATATTGACAGTGGGAGATATATATATACTGACAGTGTATTAATCCGACACTTGTTAATCCGACAATCGGCTTTATCCAACACAAAAGATGGGAACCGATGAAATCATTGCTATTTAGACATGTTAATCCGACAGTCTCCCTCTCCGACTCCAACACACCTAATTTGCAACGAATTGCTGAAATCACTCATTAATCAGTCTCGTTAATCCAACATAATCATGTGCAACCAATCATGTGGGATTTATGGGACTTGACTGTACCATGTTGGTAAGGGCCTACTACACCACTACAAGTGAATCAGTATTACCTGTTCTTGGTAGTAGATGGATGAAGCCATGAGAAGGAATGCACTGTTCGAGACATCAACACTCGCACTCATCTTGGAATCCAAGTCTCGCACAACAGCATCTCTGAAATAAACACATTTGACAAACTCAATCTCTAGAACAATACCCTGCAAATTAGCAACCAATATGACAAAAATATGTGCCTAGTAACCGTCCACTGATTTTACATTTGTCCAAACAAAATTATCAGAAATGTTTCTGAATAATTGATATTGAACATGTTGAAAGACCGTAACACAGCTAGTTACAAACGTGACTTGTGTATTTTAGATCTTGACTGAAACTGCCAAATATCCTAATGACATGTACAAAACATTCAAACACTTACTTACATGTTACTTTAATAGCAACATTAGAATGGCCCCTCACTAAACTCACTAACAGTACATTTGTTTATTACTTTTGGTAACTAGTTATTGCCAGCCACTTACAATAATTGTATCTATTTTCGGCAGAACAAACAAATAAGGGTAATAAAACCAAATGAGATTTTTTTTTGTTCAACCAAGGTATATGCAGTGATCACTCCTAATGTTCATGTTTAGTGTGTATGTGTGCACTAAGCAACATTCCAGCTATATGACAGCGACCTGTAAATAATCAAGTCTGGATCAGACAATCCAGTGTTTGATATTTGTGAGCAGCGACCCACACAGGGGTACGCTGACACGCAATTACCAAGTTGCGAAGCTTTACCACCTGATCCATCAACATGATTAAGCTTCTTCTTATGATAAGGATAGGTTGCAAGGAACAACTTCTGACCCAGAAATCCCACGAGTAACCAGAGGTACAGAAGCTTTCTTTTTTTGGTTGACTTTGACATACTTGAGTAAGAGCATGCTAAAGTGGATTTTTGGTGCTTAACATTACAAAATGTTATATGTAACAGTTTTACATGTGAAAATCCCCAAAATGTTGTTGTATATATATAGATAGTCTTGGGTGTGATATCCAACAATCAGAGCTCCCCAACATTGCTGTATCATCACTGATCAGGCAATAAACAGAAACCAAAACGCCCAAAAGGTAATTTGAACATAAACAAAATCTTGTTTTTGAGAAAGAATAATATTTTCATTGACTGCCTCTATTAAAAAAAATCATCTCCACCTGAAATTCTGCATAATCAGACTATGGTCATGCATGACATAACTGAACAATTTTCAAAAAACTTACTAAACTTCATACCTGTAATATACTATTTAAAAGAAGTTTAAAAGAACACCTGATTCTTTCATATATCTATACAGTTAAACCTCGTGTCAAACTCATGAGGACCCGGAAAACGTTTGAGTCATCCAGGATTCGAGACAACCAACAAAATGAAGTTTCAACAACCAAACAAATTATTAGTAGGTCAGGATGCAAAACTAGATTTCAAGGTGTATATAAATTTCAATGCCCAGACTACCGGTAGTGAAGAGGTCGGTGTATCATCGATCTCACAGTCCCAATCTGGATTGGCGTCATTGTTTTAGTCATATCTCGAATGATAGATTCACTAAGATAATCTTAATCTGATTCAGTCATTTCTTAATTTTCAGGTGTCATCAGAAGTAACTTGCTACCAATGTGTATTCAGTAATCAACTTACACCTTTTAGGTAAGGTGTGCTTGTTAATTAGGCTTGATTGGATATTGGCATGTTGTTAGAAGGTATCATGCCTTTGATGTAATTCTGCCACAGTGAGGTCAGTCAATCGTATGATAAGTGGTAAGGTGAATTGGGGTTTAACGTCGCTTCCAAGATCATTGCACTTATATAGCGACGTGCATGCACCTGTGTGTGGATAGGGGGGGGGGGGGGTGAATACCCCACTGACACAGTATACTGACTCTGAGCCGACCAGTCCTTGTTTTTGCCCCTTAATGCCGAGCGCCAGACGGAGTAACAACAAGTACCATCTTTAAATGTCTTTTGGTATGACATGGGCAGGGATCAAACCGAGGATCTTCCGCTCTCCGGGCGGACGCTCTACCACTAGACCACAGAGGCAGTCGTGTGTTAAGTGGGTTAAAAGTTTGGCGAGTGTGGGTGTGTGGAAGTTATTTTTATTTGAGCTATCATGTCATTGGGGGAATTTTAAACTTGATTCAGGGACTTGGGACTCCCAAATGAGTTTGAGACAACAAGGAAAGTGACGCATCCAGTTCAAGAGATCCAAGTATTAATGATGATAAATATGGAAGAAATTTGCAGGGACCAAAAAGTGAGTTTGAGACAACCGAGAATTTGACACATCCAAGTTCGACACAACAAGATTTGACTGTAGTCTACCTTTCATGACTATATTTACTTACTTTGTCCGGGCAAGATTATTAAAATTTTGTGATATTTCTAAAAAATAGCTGAGATGGCATGAAACAACATTTACCAACTCACTTTACAAAAATAACGGACTTGGTGAAACATTGTGTTGTTCATCTGATTCAGCCACTGTATCTTCCTCTCCCAAGTGTCAGCCATGAAGTCATTCCACCCACCCACTGCTATCTTCTTCTCACACACAATACATGTACAAGTGTCATCTATTAGTATTACGTCACCCTTTCCACTCACTGCTATCTTCCCCTGCTATCTTCCTCTCCACATATGTGCAAAGTAATAAGTCTTCCCACCCATCCCTTGCTGTATGCCTCTCCCACAGAAGTCCAATTTTGTTTGTCTCACTCACCGCCTGCTATCACTGGACAGGTAGTCGGCATACATTCGCACTGCCTGGAGTTCTGATGAGTTTCCTGAGGTAATCGCATCCAGGACCACCCCATACTTCCTCTGTGCGATGTAGGAACGATAAAGGATCACATCTCTCTGTGACTTCAGATCAGAGTTAGACAACTGGAAGCCAAGTACAAAAAGTTTATTAATTTCAATAAGAAAGTGCAAAATGAAAATATTCACTGTTCAACGTTTAATTATAGATCTATGCATGCTATGTGTCTTTTGAAATACTAGACTTCAATCATTTTAGATATGTTAAGATTTGCAAAAAGCTTGGGTATCCAGAATGTCCAGAGGCAGAGAAATAAAACAGTTTCGATAAATAGTCCAGCTTTGTTTCCATTTCCTTGCTAAAACCCTTTTATCAAATTGTGGATGGGACATGATATAGGCTTAATTTTGTTAATAAATGATGTGGTACATTCACAAGACCTGAAGTCAGATTTTAATGGAAATAAACATTTTCATCATATTGAGATGAAGTTTGCACAGACATTCTTTGCCTGTTCAAATCTTAGGGTTAGTTAAGTCAGTCTAGGTAACCACAACTCTAGCCTTTCCGATAAACGCTCATTTTCTATCACTGTGTTAGGTACCCCTCTCCTGACAAATACCTTTTCCGATCCTTAGTGTCATTTGTGAGTTAATCTATGAGAGAGCTACTATATAATTGTTAACGAATTAATTTAATGCAGTGTGAGAAAAAATTACAGCTCAGAGCTGCTGTGTACAAGGTGTACAGTAGTCATGATAGAAGATCAGTTTTACTTTTGCGTTCTTATTTTTAACTTGTTACTAAAATCTTTAGTGGGCTAGTCAAGAGAAATGTGACCGGTAAAGTTCAATACCCCGGGGGCCAATACACCCACAACAAAGTTAGATTTCCGTTAATCTATAATAAAACCGATAACCTAAAATAACTTTTGACAGTGAAAGAATGTTGTCATATGTGACTGTGAGCGAAAACTGGGGGACAATACACTTCCTTGTTATCATCACATGACGAACGTTAATTTTATGATCAATTATTAAAAACATAATTCCAACAACTGCCACAGACTAAGGCTTACCTTTAGCTTTTGAGCTTCATTGATACAGTGCTGATAATTGCCAATATACAAGGATGTTCTGATGTCAAATAATTCGTCTACGTCTTGGCCGGCCATCTTGACAATAATGACACGCATGCGTCGCCAACGTGGACAAGACTCAACTTCCGGGACAAGGGAAATAACTCTTTGCCTCGTTGGAATAAGAGTCGTGGCTCTATCCTTCAATCAAGGACAAGATCTAAAAAAAACGAAACAAAATAAGAAAATGTCCGTCCAAGAGGTACTTAATATAATTGAAAAAAACCACTGTTATTCACACACACACAGGTTTCATGCACGGATACAGAAGGTGGCCCTGCAAAAAGAAAAATAATAATTCGGGAACAATTCTTCAGCAGCAGATGAAGTTATATGCGATTTCGGATTCTAGTTCATGTTCAAATATCCATTTGTTTACGTTAAAAGATTTTAAGGATGTTTTTTAAAGACGTCTTTTTTTTCTTAGTGTTGAATGATAATGCTCACTTTGCACAAAATTGATATAAGTAAATCGAACGTATTTTAGTTACCAACAGAGATAATACATAAAAACCCTTCAGGGCCCTCTTATATGGTCCCTGGTATTCCTGCACCATGACTGTGGAATATATTTATTTTATGAAAATAAACACAATCTAGAAACGTATACAAAAGCAAGTCTAGCAAGCTCTAGCTAGCTCTATTCCACATTATGAAATCAGCATCGGGAAAATTATTATTTTTATTTTTAGAGTCAATTTAAGAAGTGTATTGTGCAATATAAGATTTCAAAGACTAAATGTTAGTCTAGGTCTCTGGTATCAATCATTCAAATGACTAATGCCTCATTCTAGTAGTATTTCTATACTATTCAATCGAATATAAGCAACACATATGTAATTGTGTAAAAATTACTATATCGTGAATATAATTTACGTTTGTCGATAAAGTTATCATAATTCAGAACAAATATGATGAGATACTCCTGTCTCATAGTCTTGAAAGTTTGATATCATCTAAAATACTTAAATGTGGTACGTTGAATAGAATAAATGTAGAACTTAGAGCCAAAAGGTGCCAAAATGCATTTCCGTGTGTGGTTGAGACTGGTTGTTCAAGAGATATTACAAGTTTGGAAACATTATTATTATGTTTCAACTATTTCAACAAAGTTGGCATGAGTTTAAATCATTTAAAAGAGCTTCAATAGTATGTGTTTATACTGCCAGTAGTAGTTTTATCAATCTCACGTGTTAAATCCCATGCAAATGCCTGAGGGTAAAAAAGGCCAAAATGCAGATATTGGCCTTTTCCACAAATTAAAAACGTAAGTTTAGTTCCTTTTTTGAATGTTTTATTATAGCAACATTTATATGTCTGCTGTCAGAATGTGTTAAAGATTAGGAATTTATCGGTGAATAAAACATGTTCATTAGCAGGCTTAAAGTTATTGTTTTCATTACTTTTCTCAAAACGGACTCCACACGACATTGTCCCTTATGGCTCTAAGCTCTTCAAACGAAAAGACAGAAATTGCGTAATTTTTGCAATATATATCGCTTCGGTGAAGGTTCTAACACCGTCATCAAGCAAGTGATGCTAAATGCCTATCAAAGAAGAAACTCTTTCCGTCTGTCAGATAAACGGGGGCACGGGGGGCCCAGTCGTCTAAGGCACAACGATTTGCTGTGCAGAGTTACGTCCCTTGGCCACGCCAGAAACCTATGATTGTGGGTTCGAATCCCGGTTCGCCTCGATTATGTTTCTGAGGTTGTCAGCACTATACCCGTGCTCGTGGGTTTCACCTAAGTGGTAATTTTTAAACGTCCGAGACCTGCATCACTTCGGGCTTTCCTGCCACATTAAGCTGACACGCCGTGATATAACTGGAATACTGTTAAAAGCGGCGTTAAACCCAACACACTCACATTCTTGGCATTCAGGTTTGTACATGGGTTCAATAAGTAATGTTTCACGAAGGGTGATCTCGTGTTTTATCAAGGCTATACCGTAAAGGACATTGGCAATATGGCTATGAGATTTATGCCGTATTTGTATTGTATGTTTCATTGTTTGACGCTAGACCGACTTCTTCTACGATTGAAAGTACAAGAAAGTTGAGTAGAAATACTAGGAGACTTTTTATCTGCAGCTACATTTGTTTGTGATAATGACGACGGACGGGCTTGGTTTAAATTGTAATGTTTCTAATGTACTTTTTGGACAAAGCCTTATAGAAACTGATAAAATTACTTTCATGTTTTTTAGGTACACGGCAGTTTTAAAAAAAAACATATTCCCAGTACTGGCTAGCGATCAATTATCGCCATTTTCTCGTGTTATTTCTGACAAATTCCACGTATAAGCTGACTGTACCAATAACTTTGATTTTTGTGAACTATGAGCAAATACGCTTAAATTATTTCTGTCTGTGGAAAAAAGCTTCAGTAGATTTCTCCGTTGACAATCTGTACCAGTTATCGCCATCGTTTACACATCATGGGCCACGTGCTTTAGTTATACAGGTTACATTTTTTGCTGTCTGGTATCGCATTCGATTATTTTACACTTTAAAATATTATTTTTATCTATTTGTCGTTTGCTAAATGACGTAAAACAATATTCCCCAAATTATCTACACGTGCTTAGCCGTACAGCTATATGTACTATGGATTTGTTAATACATACAGGTTTGGAAAAAAATATCTAAATTAGAAGAAGTGACAGACAGATGGAAAGCAATGACAGAACTAAATGTGCATCATCGTGTTGTCATTTCTGTTACGCGAGGAAGTCACGTGACACCACCCACTTAATATCTTTTCTAAAGTTGTATCATATCAAGGTGCTCATATGGTGTGTTTTTTTAAAATATTTTCTAACACGTGTCATTTTTGTTTATTATATTAGGATAAACATTTCTCATTTCTTATGAAAACGAGCAAACGTAAAACGAGATGCGACAACGTGCGCGCTATAACGGAGGTCGGCGATACTTGGTCCAAGGCCATAACTGGTTAACTGATAATTGGTTTACAGGAACCAAAGCGTACGCGACTATGATCAAAGAACGTTAAACATATCAACAGCCACGGAAGACAACGTTCATGTCAGCAAATGCTCAGTAGAGCATTAGACGGCGAGATTAATCAAGATTGACGAGCACCTGTATGCATGGCGCTGATATTTTAGTGGTATATCACAATAAAAAAAGGACAGTTCACTCCCCTTGCAAGGGGAAATAACTGGGGAATCTCAAAATGGCGTGCGAAAAGTAAAAATATAAGGAACTCACATTTTACGAACAATGTTCAGTTATCTCAGGGCAATGCTGGGTGTGATTCAATGAAGTTTATGGTCGAAAACAAGTTTATCTGTGGAAAAAACAAATCGGATTTAGGCTAAAGTCTTCACAGGCCTTAGAAATGGCAAACATTTCACGGAAAGTAAATTTTGCTCAAATTTCTGTTGATTCATCCAAAAAGGTTATTGACATATCGAGCAAATACACATATGGAATCAATACATTCAAAAAGATTGTAGGTGCTGTCACTATAATCTTCACTGACAACGAAAGCAGCTGTGAAGAGCCTGATCATGGTATGTCCCGAAACCTACTTTACTTTGTACTTACATTTCTTATCATGTGCTTATTTACGGGAGACATGTTATACTTGCCATCGATAGTAATGTTTTCCCCAATATAATAATAATACGTGGGAAAAAGCTCCTATTTGTTACTAAATACTCTTAGCTGTGAATCGTAGCTATGAGCGTATAGTGTTTGTACTGTTCTGCATGTACTAATAAACCTATTTAATATCTTAAATATTGCTGGAAAGCTCCTCCTAGAGTAACAATCTGCCCAAAATCATATTGAGTCTACTACCAGGGATACATATAGCCTGTTAACCCGAGTCAGTGTGTCTGATGTTAATGTTAAAGGATCCTGAGGGCAAGTAGCATTTCAATCTTTTTAGGGTGTCCTTTTATGTTTGCGTTTTTGGGGCTTGTAAATGTTTACAGTTAATTTTACCACTACAAGCATGGAATCTTCCCTCTGTATCTTATTCAGTACATTTGTTTCCTTTCGTACTATCTATCATCAACTAAACATAATGGACAAAGACAAATTCTACCGGACTCAGGCTTCAAAAGTTGCAGACTGTAGTAACACTCAAGCAAGTGATCTAACGGTGTTAGAACATACACCGAAACGGCGCTCCTAGTTGTATTATTGAAGTTGTTCATCCATAAATCTTATCCTTACTTAGTTCCAGAATCATTGAAGTTTAAGTACATCAACATTACTTTACTTTCAAATACAGGTGCAACATTTGATCTATCAGTAATGATTAATCTCATTACTCAGACCCGTTGGTGATTCGAAGTCTGAATACATACCAAATTTGAAAGAGCCAACTAAGCTGAGGGTTGAGTGGTGAAATCTGGTGGCTTGTCTGATTGCATGTCACCGAAATACAATGACATAGATTGGTGTGCATTCTCTCAGTCACTTATTTGCCTGGTCAAGACTATTATTTGTAAGCTGTCAGCTAGAATACTGCAGACGGCGACATTACACAACATGCACTTACAGGGTTTTAGATGATTTCATTTACTGCTTATGCTGACTGGCATATAACAAATAAATTGTCCAAAAGATAGTCTTCCAGATAGTTTGGTAAAGATGTAGACATGATATAAAAATGTCCTTCCAAAAGTTGAAAAATTATTTTATGCTGTTTGTCTCAGTAAAGTCAAAGCACTTACTTAATCATTCATTGCACAGATTGTCATTTGTTGCCCTTACTATGAGCCAAGTACTTTGTACATCAAACTTAGTAACTAGTGTACAGTTGACCAGTTCCATCATGTCCATCTTAGCAATACTTTGACGTGTCTCACATGGTCTAAATTGAAATTAATTGCCATGTTGTTGATCTTTCCCTAGCTAAACCACATGTACAAGGCTAATGATGCAAATGAACGAATGTTACTTCTTGCTTTAATGAAAATATTGAAGTACTAAAAAATAGGACTACATGACTAAATCCTTTTCATTATCGTTTTCACTTGTTGTAGAATCTGACACACAAGACCTGGATAAGACAACATGGAAGAATATTCCGGCTTCGCTGTCTGTTTTACCAACTCCTGGATACAGACAAACCATGGACATGTCAAGACATGATGTAGGTCTCAGTTATCACAACAGCTTGCCTCATTGCTATGGAAACATTCAAGGAAGTGAACAAACACATACTGATATTATGGATGATTCTGTGGCAGGCAAAATCAATGCAGAGAACAATCAAGAGACCTCTGCACTGTCATCACAAGAAAACATCACTTCAGTTTGTTCTGAAGGAGAAACAATATATATCAAGAAAGAGCCAACTTCACCATTTCCAGAAGAGTTTGATCAGAGAATGGAAACAAGTGTTGAACATTCAACCAGTGTTGAACAAATTGGTCTGAGTCAATCCCAGGTTTTTAATGGTAAACAATCGGATGGTTGTTTTGACAAGAAGCCTCTTAATGCTGGACATAATCCCCAATCAACTTGTTCTGTTTGCTTTAGAGAAATTCAAAGCAAAAGAGAATTTATTTTTCATGCTAAGGCACATAAAAATGTTTTAGGTGTTGGAGAAAGCTGTCCAATTTGCCTAAAATCATTCACAAGAAATGTTGGTTTAATGAGACATTCATCCCTGCATATTACAAATGATCTGTACAACTGCCCTGTCTGTGGAATCAATATTGTTCAGTTGGACGGTTTTAAGAGGCATTTCCACAAACGACATCCAGGCTCTTTGTTCAAACTGAAGTGTTATCTTGCAAACTTCCGTCATCATTCAATAAACAGACTGGCATCACAAGACTCTGGAAGAAATGGCCAACCAATAAGCTCAGTATCAGAGGGTAGACACTATCAAGCTATGCAACAGATGAAAGGAGAACCACATGCGGCGATGACAAGCAGTGATTCAGAACAGTTTGAAAACAGACAAGCTTCCTATCATCCCCCGTCGCAGGGAGGTTCCAGCACGCAGATGATGCAGCTGCAGGTGAATGCTGAGGGTGTACAGAGTGTGAATGTGCTCACTGAGCATCCACAATGTCAAGATACTTTTGATGACAGCACCATCACATTGGATGGATGTGATTCTGCTGCGACAAAAATTGGGTCAAAAGAGGATAATCAAAGCAATATTCATGTGCACAAAAACAAAACAGGTCCTCGATCATCGGGCAAATCTAATGGTAAAAAGTCTGCGAAATGCTCCTTCTGTTGGTCTGAAATGACGAACATGGAGGACTTCTTGAATCATATGGAGGCTCATAAGAGTATTATGAAGGTTCCCCACACCTGCCCAGTGTGTCTCCATGAGTTTAGTGATAAGATGAGAGTTAAAAGGCATGCATCAAAACATGTCCTAACAGCAATGTTTGCCTGCCCATTTTGTCCCGTACAGATCCCCAGAATAGATAGTTTCCGGAGACACCTCAGGAAGGTCCATCCAACATATGCAGATGATTTCAAAGTAGAAATGAACTATGCTACTCCACTTTCAGGTCCCATAACCGACCCAGATGATATCAATGTTACAATTTCTTCTATGGATGCAAACTCTTCATTAACCAGATCAACAGAAATTGAAATTAAGAAGGAATGTACCACTTCATCGGGTGAAGATGGTGTCATGTCTGATTATTCATCTTGCCCTGTGTTTGATCTAAACAGTGAGAGGGTGCTGACCAAATTCCCTAAAAGACCAGGTGCATCATCCTCATCATCACCAAGTCCTGTATCTCAGAGTGAAGCAGGCTGCCAGAATGAGTCTGACCTGCCCGAAGCAGGGGCAACAGCAGGGCAGACCTTCTTCAACACATCCACTGGGTCTAGTACTGGTGCAGACCTTCAGGATCAACACAGTAACCATGGTAACTGCTCAAAGAATGAACCTGAGTTGTCATGGAAGCTGAATTCAGATCAGCAGCACACACAGATTAATCCTTTCATCCCACTAAATGTTGACAGGTCGTCATCACCTGTTACACACTCATGGGGACATTCAGCTGGTGTGGCTTCTGGCTCAGGCAGATCACATCCACCCACAACCTTTAACTCTCCTAAGCGAGGGGGTTCTAAACCACACACAGACATACGTAACATCCACATGGATGTAAAAAATGAACCAACCCAGTTTCATAGTCCGAATTCAGCGAAGAAGAAAGGTAAAAACAACAAACAGTTGACCTCTACATGCTTCTTTTGCTCTTCAACCTTAACAAGCACTCAGGAATTTCTTGAACATGCACGATTGCATGCCAAAGATGACAAGATTACATGTCCTGTTTGTGTCACTGACTATGCCAGGAAGCTTGGACTTGTCAGACACTCTGTGAACCATGTTCCAAGTGATGCTCATGTTTGCAGCGTCTGTGGTACAGCATTTGCACGCCGAGATGTGATGTTGAGGCATTACAGGAAAGTGCACAAAATGTGTCTCACATACTTTCGGCAAGGAGCCAGGAACTCGGACAGTGGGGCCACAGCGAGCACCCACGATCATGATGATTTGCAGATACTCAGTTTTGATGCGATCACTGCTCCCAATATTCCCCCTTTGCCCGGTGATGGGGACTGCAACATGTCCCCCGCAGTGATGGGTATCACTGACGATGATGACATGATGTACTCGTGTGGGCTGTGTGGGGCACAGTACCACGATGCTGTCAGTCTCCAGGAGCATGTGCAAAACCACCCTCATGATATCTAATTTAGGGTATGAAACTTGTCCGATTGTACCAAACTACTGAAATAGAGACCCTTGAACATACAGGGTAGAATAGGTCTTCAGCAACCCATGCTTGCCATAGAAGGCGACTATGCTTGTCGTAAGAGGCGACTAACGGGATCGGGTGGTCAGGCACGGTGACTTGGTTGATGCATGTCATCGTATCCCAGAGTTCACACTAGGAATTTTCTGACATTGGCCCTTCTTGTGAAAATATGAAATATTCCAGAGGTACGCCTATACAGCACAATGTTAAAATTAAAATGTATTTGAAAATGTGGGCCTTTTTTTTCAAATTTAGGGACTATAAGCACAAGGCCCCAACCTAGAATTATCCCTGGTATCCGAATTGCGATTGCATGATGTCAAATCAATGGATTGTCTGGTCCAGACTCCATTTACAGACCGCCTTCATATAGCTAGAATATTGCTGAGTGAGGCGTTAAACATGTTAAACAACAAATAAACAAAACAAAGTGAAATACTGCCAGATTCCTTGTTTTATGCAAGTATTTTTCAGTTAATGTGTATTGTTATTATGGTTAAATGTTCTTTATTATCATAATAATTGTGTTGAAAATACAATGTAGTATGAAATGTGAAGAAATTTCTTTGTACAAATATCACTAGTGACAATGTGTAAAATGTTCTATGGCAGGTTACCACAAAGTTATACATTTTAGTACATCAGAACAACTGACCATTAGATTGTTGTAGTCTGTTAACATGAGGCAATAATGTATTCCCTTATGGTGCACATGTAGTAGTCATGTGATTTTCATCATGAAGAAATTGCTTCATCACAAAGAACCGGTTGCTTGTATTGGGAGAACAGATACCTCTCTTGGACATTGTTTTGTCCCATTGTTGACACAATATACAATTTGTACTGGTTACATTTTTGTTGACACAATGTACCTGTGACATCGTCGTTGACACATTGTACTTGTGACAGCATTGTTGACACACTGTAATATTCTTTACCTGTATCATCGCTGTTGTACTTTTTGTTAGGTCAATTTTTGACACATTGTACCCGTGACATCAATACTGACACATTATACCTGTGACATCATTACTGACACATTGTACCAATGTTGACATTTTACCCATGACATAATTACTGTGATTTGCTCAGTGCATGGATCGTGATATGGCTGCAATATTGCCGATGCGATGTAAAATTTTAACTCACTCACTCAGTGCATTGGACATTCTTGAAGTGGTGTACAGCATCCAACGATTTCTTCTGTAGACCTGTGTTCAAGCCTCTTGTGTATGGAATGTTTAGTAACAACTTATTTGTTTATGAATGACAGATACTCTACCAGAATTTGGAAATTACTCAGTGCCGATTGGTCAGTCAGAGGTATCAAATCACAATAACCACCTCTGATTGAAACAGATGATTGAAAGCCACATCACCCCAGAAGATAATATTTATAGAAAAGTACTTTTGTCTTAATCATTGTCGGTAGGTATTTTAAAATAATTATATGTACATTAATAGGTGACAGAGTCCCAAGTTTTGATTAATACAATATTCAAAGTATATGTGGCAATACATTTTGGGCTTGGCTAAGTTAGTGTATTTCAAGTTTTAGGGATAACAGAGAGATTGAAATTAGACCTGTTTCTAATGCCGACTCTGAGTGAGCGGGTTGACGTCAAAATACATGTAGTGACATGCGATGTAAAACTAAACCTTGCGAGGCTTGCTTATTAATATTGAGCGGTGCTCACTTCAGGCTGGCTTATGAAGTTGCTATGCTACCTACTGTCAATGCCTGTTTCATGTGCAAGTAAAGCACAATGAGTTGGAAATAAATAATATTGCACATATACAGCGCCATAATTTGTTTAAAGGCCTTGACTCAGTCTTTCCTTCATTCAAAAGGACAACCCACTGAAAACACTGGACTCAACCCATGCCACTTAACGAGTTTGCTTTCATTTTTTCATGATAGAATGGAGGTAAATAACTGTTTTTTCAATGTCGAGCTTTGTTACCTGTTGATTTAACCATGCTATATTTAAGTTTTAATTTAACTTTTGAAACCTTACGCTGCGCATTTGGTTTCAAATCCAGTTTAGCACGGCTGCATCCACAGCTAACGTAGCTCAACATTGAAAACACAGTATGTTTATTTCCTAATTAACTATACTTTTGTAACATTAATAAATGTTAAATGGATAACCTGGTAAAATTAACACGTTCTTTCTTTTAATTTTTTATATTTATGTTTAATATTAATAAGGATATATTTGTGTTGTTACATATATATCAGATATATCTTATGCTTTCATATTCCTGTATGGCATTTGTACAAATATACAATGACCAGTGATCAAAAGATAACAAACTGAAACTTCTGAGAAGAAAGTACTGACTGTGATTTCCCATGTTCAGCTGAGATATGAGGGATGTTTTGAAAACTCGTACATAGCTTACAGATTGTAAGGAACGTTTATCCTACCATATATGTGCTGTATGTAAATGGTTCAATTCAAATTGAAGTAAAATGTATTCCATTATCTGTATCTTACTAACACTTTATACCTATGTAGGTCTATTTACATCTACTGTAGGTGTACATGGTGAAAACAAAGGCTTAGAAAAATCAAAAGGAAGTCAGTAAGCATGTGACCACTATGACCATGATGCTATTAAGTTTCTGGGGGCACGGGTGGCCCAGTCGTCTAAGGTGCCACGATTCGCTGTGCAGAGTTGTGTCCCTTGGGCACGCCAGAAACCTACGATTGTGGGTTTGAACTGTAATATTGCCGAAATAGGTGTTCATTGGCACCAAAAGTGTCTTTGATTGGTTCTGATATTGAGAGTCCCAGACATACACTATATATAGGAAATGTTTCATCGTGTCTTCTACTTAACTTATCCAGAAATATATTCAGATAGCATATTGTTTGTCTGGTAGTAGACTCATGAAGACGTAGAGGATGGCATAATTGACATTGGTAGATCTAATGTGTCACATTTAGCAAGTAGTTTCCCTGCTGCAAATGTCTTTACATTCTACATTGCCCTGTAGAGGTATTGTGTGGTTGGATATTCAGTGCAACATTCTGAAGTTTCTGTATGCAACAGGTTTTGTCTGCATAGTAAGTGTTGTGTGTGTTTGGACAGCTGTATTTTACATGTATTACAACTATACAATTGTTGGTAATTTGTGTTTTACATGGTATGTAATTACATGTATGTAGTTAAAAATAAAATGATATTTTTTATCTTCAAAACAATTTGTTGAACATTTTTATTTCAACACTAATAGTCCAGTGTTCCTCAGGGCTAAGACTGTTACAGTGGTGGTCAGGTAGCCTTTGATTTGTTTGTTTGTTGTTTATCCCCGCACTCAGCAATATTCCAGCTATATGACCGCGGTCTGTAAATAATCAAGTCTGGACCAGACAATCCAGTGATTGACATCATGAGCATTGATCCACGCAATTGGGATATGATGACATGCATCAACCAAGTCAGCGAGCCTGACCACCCGATCCCATAAGTCGCCTCTTACAATGAGCACAGTCGCCTTTTACAGCAAGCATGGGTTGATGAAGACTGATTCTAACCCGGATCTTCACGGGTCCGGTAGCCTAGAAGTAAAAGTGTTGGTTGGTCATGATTCTCCACATGGGTACAAGTGTGAAACCCATGCCAGTTTTAAAGTGCTAGCCTACTGAAATGTCATGCCACAGTTCAACATGGATACACCACTCAGACACAGTATACTGACTCAAAGCTGACCAGTCCATGTTTCATCCCTGTCATGCCGAGTTCCAGGCAGGACAACATCAAGTACCATCTTTTAACATATTTTGGTTGGACACGGCCAGGGAATCGAACCCCTTGGCCTTCTGTTCTCCAGGCTCTCTGGTTTAGATGGGCACCTGAAACCAGCTCAACACACTCAAGAAAGCAATCTAGGTGCACAACAATTGTTGGAAGTAAGTGTGGAATTATTCCCCAGTATCACATGCTTGTGTAAGAGCTGGGCAAAATGTGTTTTGCAATGTGTGACCTGACTGATTGTGTGCTGCTGGACGGAGTGGATCACAGCTTATGACATTGACGACTGGTCGGTCTGGCTCTCACTTGCTTATTTACAGACCAATATTAGATATAGCTACTCATAAAACTACATTCACACATCACTATATACATGTAACAATCTTGAACGCCACGTTTTATACGCTTTGGGAGTTGATGTGAAAAACATTGCCTTGCACCTTGCACAAATACAGTGAAGAAAAAAACTCACTCCATTCACCATTGATAAACTGGGGATTTAGATCTAGTGGTTTTCGTAAGGTTATTCATACATAGATGCGTAGATATTTGATCCTTTACAAATTTTAAACCACTATATTTTTAAAGGTTTCAAACATTCCGTCGCAATGTGTTTTTTCAATCAGTTGGTGCAATTTGTTCAAACTGAAAAAATATTTTAATGGCGGCACATTTGAGTGAAAGTGTAAACAAGGGGAATTTGACTAACTCCAAAATCCAAATGTATTATTTATTGACAGTAGATTTGGAGATATGACACAAATGTGTTGGAAATTTACTATATTTTGCAAATTATTTGGGCATGGGGCAATCCAAATTGTTTTTATATCAATTCTTTTAACATGATGTTTATGTCCCTTTGGCACAGCAACTGCCTTTTGTGTAGGCCCTATGTCCAAATGGCATCCTGTTTAATTAATCACCTAGCTGTTTCAATCAGTGGTTGTTATTGTGATTTGAAACCACTGATTGACCAAACAGAAAGGAGCATTTTCCATATTGATAGGTGAATATCCACGAGCAATTTGTGATATCACCTAATCACTGCTGCAGATACAACTGGTTCTTATTTTGAAGGACGCTCGTCAAATCTTGACAAGCACCCAGTCGAAACAGGCATATTAGAGTTATGTCCCTTGGTAAATTCTGAGATGCGGAAACGAATTTGACGACAAGCAGCAGTGGATGTGTCTGTCCTCCATTCGCAATGATCCAGTTTGATCACAAGATATAACCATATTACAGGTACGAGGGGCATTATATATGAGATGATTTATCTGTGCTGTACTGTATTAGTACCGACATCGTGAAATGCACCGACCTGACTGCAGATAGCAGACAAGGCCAGATCAAGTGTGTAGCTCTAACAGCAATACTTGAACCGATGTAGCCTAAGTGATGAAAGGCTGTTACAGGACTACGACCAGCGTTTGTGGGCCTTGCTACAGTAAACACAATTTTATGATAGATCGACTCATTTCTTTTACTGATGTTCGTTTGTATATTTCATTCTGAAGATGATGAAACTGAAAAAAAACACACAACTATTTTGTGTGATTCATCCTACAAGGTTTCAGATCGTTCTATTTCTTGGAAAGGGCCCACGCTTGCCCACTTCACTGATTAGGCAATCCTGGTTGCATGTTCTCCGAAAACCTTGGAACCATAGAATCCCCAAGATGCCTTTTTTTTGGGATCTTATAATTAGGACAAGCAATGTCATAAATCTATAGAAAGAATTTCCCAAATTGGAAGTTTTTTTCTTGTTTGAGAAAGGTAGACAAGTAGATCTAGATCTAGTGCACTCATTTACATGTGTGTCTGTTTTTCCTTTCTAATTGGCTTATATTAAATGTTACATAGATTTCTATTCTTTATTCATTGTTTAAATGTCTTTAAATTATACAAAAAGAATTGGTTCAGTTGTATGACAGGATAAGTATTGCAGATAAGGAAAGACTTGTCATTACTTATTAAGCTGTTGCTGCCTCCCATGAGTTGTGGTAAGGCCTTCCTGGACCCACTTGCACAAAGCGATCTTAGCGCTAAGATGATCGTAACTCCCATACTTTAACATAGGCTTACAATAGTCTTAGCGCTAAGATCGTTTTGTGCAATTGGCCCCTGATATTACAGGATGCTGAATTGATTTAGATGGAGACGTAGTAGACAACATGTCTATCATGAGTCTTTCAGATACGAAATAAGATGCTCTTAAATCGGAAAATCAACTGTATCCCATGTACAAAAACATCTCCAGCCAGTTGATAGAGAGCCAGCGGGTTTTGTTTCTGATGGAGATGTAGTGTCAGAGCAGATGTCAGTGTTGTCCATGTCAACAATGTTGAGGCCAATGGTGCCATTATGGCTGAAAAGAGAACAGTTTACTTTACACTCATTCTGCTCTTTGACATTCCAAAATAATATGCCCGCCTATCTGGTCTAGTAGAGCATCCGCCCGGAGAGCGGAAGGTCCGGGGTTCGATCCCTGGCCACGTCATACCAAAAGACGTTAAAAGCTTGTATTTGTTGTTACAAGGACTGGTCGGCTCGGAATCAGTATGAGTTGGGTATTCATGTTAAACTGCAGCATGGAATCTCAGCGAGCTAGCACTATAAAATCGGCATCAGTCTGGACTAGTACAAGCAGCCACACACACACACACACACACACATGAAACTATGCTTGTCGTAAGAGGCGACTAACGGGATTGGGTGGTCAGGCTCATTGATTTAGTTGATGCATGTCATCGTATCCCAATTGCGTGGATAGATGCTCATGATGTCAGTCACTGGATTGTCTGGTCCAGACTCGATTATTTACAGACCGCCCTCATATAGCTGGAATATTGCTGAGTGCGGCGTTAAACAACAAACAAACATGCCTGCACGTCTCTATATAAATGCAATAATCTTGAACATGATGTTAAACCCCATTTCCCATCACCTCACCTTGATTGAAATACTATATAGCAGCAAACTTCAAAGACCCCAGGCTTTATAGCCTTGTAAAGGACAGAATATGTTAACAGTGTATATCTAGCCACTAGTGCTCCACGTCTTGTCATATTATGCAAGTAGTGAAAATACAAAACAGTTGGACAGTTGAGAGCATTGGAGCTGTCATTAGTTGAAACATCTTTAGGTTAACATCATAGTGTTAATGCCCTTATGGATGACTAATACAATACTCGTAGGCCTTATTATATTATGTGGTGTAATTAACAGTCGTATAAACAATATGAATCCATTTTCATTTCAGATACGAAGGAAAAAGCAGACCCTACTATAATGCTGGCCCAGTCAAGTAGCGCAGAGGTGTTTTTTGATAAAATTCGACAGGAGCTTCGAGTGACCAGTGTTCATCACTGTAACAGCCTCAAGTCCCTGGGAAAGATCATAGGAGCAGTGACTGTAGCGTTTCTGGAGGAAGAAGCTAAATATGATACTGGTATGACATGGTCTGACTTTCTTAATGCATACTCCTATATTATGTGGGTATTCTGAGAAGAATATGGAACTATTTAACTATTAAGATGATCATTGATTGCAACTTGATTGCACTGTGTATAAAATATAAAAAGTGTCAGCATTGATAGTACTTTCTTTCAGCAGTTTTCCATTGATGTAAATTAGTATGAAACCTAGACTGCCCAGTGCTAGAGTACAGAAAATATACAGGTGGCGCACGTATCAGTATATTCATCACTGTGGTCCAATTGTGCTGTGCTTCCTGTAAAACATGCTAACAAGAGTTAACTAACCATCCTGTCACTGCCTACATTCAAGAACACATAATAATATGTATATATAATAAACTCCTTTACAGGTTATGCCTAGTTAACATGGTGTCCAATAATACGTTTATAGCCATATACTCACCACCAAACATGAATACCATGTTAGTTAATATTTGAAGAATTACTCATATTCAAGAGATATTAGATTGGTCTGATGTACAAACGAACATACTGGTATGTTGTGTGAACTGATGCTCATGAATGGGTCACATGTGACATCGCAGATTCAGGACTCCAGATACACCATTTGTCTCATGCAGGATTAGCATGTGAAGCCTGTAAATCATGCATAGTTAATGTGTCTGGTAATGACATTTGACAAACCAGGTAAGAGATGGTGTTTGTGTATTGCAGATGACGCTGACGAGGTGCAGAGCTCCGACCAGGTGTCCCAGTTCTTGCTGGACCGAAGCAAGGTCTGGGGAGGTATCCCAGCCTCCCTCTCCTTCATCCCCATGCCAGGCTCCTCCAAATATGGAGATGCCATCCCACAGCAGCTCAGTCCTGTGTCACGGTCAGATAGTGAGGTGGATAGCGTTCCGCAGGCTCCTTCCAGGGTGAAGTCGGAGACAGGCAGCTGTAAGAGATCCGTTCCTGAGATTGTGTCAAGTGCCAACGACCTGTGTGAGTTGTCTGTTCCAGAAAGGAAGAGCAAGGGAGAAGGTGCACAGCCATCTACAACTGGAAACAAGAAACCTCCTTTTAGAGACTCATCTAGTTTTCCAAGAAAAGCAGTTGGTGGACCCTGCTGTGACTCATTGGACAGATACAGCGAAGACTGTAGGTCAGTTGAGGCATCTTCATCTCATGTCAGTAACCATGGTAACATTGAAAGGGATCACAAGAAATTGTCTAGTCCATCTGTGTCAAATAGTGGCTTCTCTCACAGAAAAGCTTTGTGTGGTAAGGATGTCCGAACTTTGCAGTATTCTGCTGCAGCAAAAGAATCCAGTAGATGTCATTCAAGTGATAATGAACACTCACAGAACGGCGCCTCTAAACAATTTGGTCATATTTTGTCAACGCCTCAATCGTTTATGACTGATGATGAACATATTGAGCAACGACCCTTTCCTAAGAATGTCAGACAGTGTAAGTACCTCCCAGAGGAATCTCACGGCCAGGACAGACTTGACTGTCATGTAGAGGACGTTCTGATTAAGGCTGAAGTATATGATGATTTGTGCAACTCTAGCGTCAACATGGAGGACTCGACTGCAGGAGACAACAAAGATGATGACAGTGATGATCAAGATGAGGACATGCTAGAGGAGTGTGATATCAGCAGCCAGGACCACAGTGCTCTGTTCCGACAGTCGGATCTATCGTTAAGTACCTATGCTCTTGGAGAGATGGATTCCCCCTTCATGCAGCCTTATCCCACCTCTGTCCACGGTGAAACAACATTCCCTGGGATTCCAGTCATGGATCCATTGAAGTCTGCTCCAGCAAGTTCCGTTTTTCCTCATGGAGCATCTCCCTCAGCAGGATCTGTGTTGAGATGGAAGAACTTTGTAGGGCATGGGGAGTCTATGCCACATATTGATTCCTCATCCTTGCATGGGCAGACGTCATCTTTCCTGCCTCAGTATCAATCATCATTATCTCGCTTGCATTCAAAACCCCCCAGGAAGAAAAAACCCAACTTTCCGACATGCGCTCTGTGTAATGCTGAGATCAGAGACAAGAACGACTTTGCAGCCCATGCATCCTTACACAGTGTAGACTACCAGCAAAACTGTCCAGTCTGCCTTAAGATCTTCTCCAACAGGGCCAACTTGTTGCGACACGCTTCCCTGCATATCCTGGGTGTGCTGTACCAGTGTCCGATCTGCTGCAGGATGATCAAAAGGGGAGATAATTTCCAAGTCCATATGAGGAAGCAGCACCCCGGCCAGAGTGTCAAGATGGGCAGAAGTCTGTCAGGGCAGGAGCCAGGGAGGGCCAAAATTGTATACTCTGGGACACCCAGCTCGGCAGCTTCTGAAGCTCCTAGCAGCTTATGTATTGGAAGACCTGGCAGCCGCTCGGGAGTCCGACCTAGGTATCTGTCAGAGGGTGACGTCAGCAGAAACAGAGTGCAAGCGGACTCCAGCTGTAGTGCCCAAACTGAAGCACCTGATTTCATTGATCAAACCACCTCGGATTATTTGTGTATTTTTTGTGCCAACAGGTTCATGTCTTCCAGTTCCCTTGCTATTCACATGCAGGATGTGCATGGGAGGTTCTCCTCCGTGAAGAGTAGATCCCGACTCGGTGTGCTATCATTGTCCTCAGATTACCCTGTTGACCTGGAGCAGCCACCTTGGTCAGCCGGCACCAAGGTCGTGGGCAAAGGGCCGGAAGTAGATCAGACTGACTAGCTCAACAGCCTTTGTTATTCTTGTGTTGTCAAGATGTAATGAAGTGAAATCTCCTGCTTCCATGGACAAACGATGGTGTGATACATGTGAAACTTAGTCTAATGTTTTCTGAGGGGTAGCAGTTTCAGTCTTGTAAATGTTTCTTATACAGTGATGGCATGCTACTCAAACAAACTCAAAGAACACCTGATTTTCCGATGGCCATGACAGATTAACTATTAGTCATATGAAAAGATTTAGAGTTCTTTAACTTCTTTTGAGTGTTATATGTTGTTAAATAACTTCATTCCTAAGTCTTCCATGTATCATAATGTAAGTTTGTATTCCTAACTTATTACTTCAGTATTTAATATCTCTTGAATACGCCTTTGTTTGATGAGGTCGATATTAGTTGCGCTGCTATAATGGTGCAGGTTTTGATTCCATAAGGACATATCAACTCTGCACAGTGGATGTATTAGGCTTAAAAAATAATAGTCTTGGTTCTCAGGCTCCGCCCGCATCATCATAAAGTCATCCGCACGTTTTGTTTTAATTTCCATTTTTTTTAAAAACATGAAAAAATCCTAATACTTAAAAATAATCCAATCCAAGATAGCACACAGTTACTTCCCTTTACATGCGCACTGCTTTACACCGCATCTCATGTTATGGTCATAGCAGCAATAGGAGTTTGTATGCTTGTTTATGTAGGGAGGCCCTTTCCCAGGTTGATGGTTCACAACTAAATATTTGGTTACATACTAGTTTGAACAAGCCACACCATAAAAACCGCCTGTCCTTGCTATATTTTAAAAAATCATTGCCTGAGAGCCATTCTTTTATTCGTTTAAGCCTAATACATCTACTGTGCAGAGTTGATGTGTCCATAATCTGACTGTTGCCTTGATGTCAGTCTTTATGTGAACATTCAGCAGGGTGAATCTAATGTCAGGCTATTTGATGATAAGGCAGAGTTCAAAATTACTTGAAGTGAGTGAGTGAGTGAGTTAGGTTTAACGCCGCTTTTAACAGTATTCCAGTTATATCACAGCATGTCAGCTTAATGTGGGAGGAAAGCCCGAAGTGATGCATGTCTCAGACGTTTACCACTTCGGTGAAACCCACGAGTGCAGGTATGGTGCTGACAAACCTAGAAACATAATCGGGGCGAACCGGGATTTGAACCCACCATCATAGGTTTCTGGCGTGCCCAAGGGACGCAACTCTGCACAGCGAATCGTGGCATCTTAGATGACTGGGCCAACCGTGCCCCAAAAATTACTTGTATGAAAGTGTCAATGGCCTGATTAAAAATCATAATGTCATGAATAAAATAAGTTTCTGGTGCTTAAAGCGCACACTTCGAAAACACATTTTGTTTAATAAACATACCTTCTGAGTCTTTTATGCTTTGTATATTGTCAAGCTGGAGATAAACGTACATCAGCACATGTCAAACACATCAAAAATGATGAACATACTCGGCTAAATGAGCAAAAGTTCAAATCACCTATTGCCTTTTTCAATGAAAATAATGGTTATGCTTAAGAAAATAAAAGAATTGGCTCTTTGGCAATGGCTTTTGAAAATATAGTGTGGGTGGGCGGGTGTCGTTTTTTGGTTCAAGTATTGAAATATGTAACCAAATTTTGTTTACATTAATTTCAGTGAAATCATGTTGTTCTTAAGTATTGTAGCATTTCACTGGCGGGCTCATGTGTTCGAGACACGGAATATTTCAAGATTATTTTAAGAAAGAAAAAAAAAAAAAACGTGCGGCGGATTTTATGATGCTGCGGCCGGTGCCTGAGAACCAACACTATTATTTTTTTAGCTTTATCACCCGTAAATCACAAAGGGCACACCTCAACATCCTTACAGACCTCACTTGAGGTTCAGAAGCAAACCATGCTTGTGGTAAGAGGCGACTAATGGGGTCAGGTGATCAGGGTCGCTGACTTGGTTGATGCATATCATTGTATCCCATTTGCATGGATCGATGCTCATGATATTAATCACTGGATTGTCTGGTCCAGACACGATTATTTACAGACCGCCGTCATATAGCTGAATAATTGCTGAGTGCGGCGTTAAACAACAAACAAATGAAAATTAAAATGAGGTTCAGAACATGACACACTGCTTGTAAGGACATCAGGAATATCTCTATTCGTGTGACCTAGTAATATGAAGTTTGGAGAGGATTTCTTTTAACCAGACCATTAAATGATGGCAGGTTATTATTACTGTATCTGACAAAAAACATCCGTCAGTCAGGGAGTTTGCTAGAGACAAAGGCTCTCTGTATTATAGCCTTATCAGTGTGGTAATATTAAACATTGTGATGATAGTCCTGTGACATATTTCCAATGTACGCCAAGAAACCAGTAATGGAAACCAACTTAAGCACTGGAGGTGGCTGTCTTTCATTGGTTGTGTTGACAATACATTGCCTCCAGCTTTCAGTTGATTTGCTTGATGACTTAGGTTTGTCCATTAGGACTCAATGTCAATTCATTGAAATGATTAGTTAGGTCTGTTAGTTTGATCTAACCATTTCACCAATAAGACATCTAGGTCCGAGTGATCTTACCTATTTAAGCCATGGCTCACAACCTCTGCACCGAACTTGCTGAAATAACACCATATTTTGTACCAGTCCACTATTGGAGTGCGAGTAATTCCTACCTGTCTATCCACTATTGGAGTGCTAGTAGTTCCTACCTGTCTATCCACTATTGGAGTGCTAGTAATTCCCTCGTCTCTATCCACTATTGGAGTGCTAGTAATTCCTACCTGTCTGTCCACTATTGGAGTGCTAGTAGTTCCTATATGTCTATCCACTATTGGAGTGCTAGTAGTTTCTACCTGTCTATCCACTATTGGAGTGCTAGTAATTCCCTCATCTCTATCCACTATTGGAGTGCTAGTAATTCCTACCTGTCTATCCACTATTGGAGTGCTAGTAGTTCCTATATGTCTATCCACTATTGGAGTGCTAGTAGTTTCTACCTGTCTATCCACTATTGGAGTGCTAGTAATTCCCTCATCTCTATCCACTATTGGAGTGCTAGTAATTCCTACCTGTCTATCCACTATTGGAGTGCTAGTAGTTTCTACCTGTCTATCCACTATTGGAGTGCAAGTAATTCCCTCATCTCTATCCACTATTGGAGTGCTAGTAATTCCTACCTGTCTATCCACTATTGGAGTGCTAGTAGTTCCTACCTGTCTATCCACTTTTTGGAGTGCTAGTAGTTCCTACCTGTCTATCCACTATTGGAGTGCTAGTAGTTCCTACCTGTCTATCCACTATTGGAGTGCTAGTAGTTCCTACCTGTCTATCCACTTTTTGGAGTGCTAGTAGTTCCTACCTGTCTATCCACTATTGGAGTGCTAGTAGTTCCTACCTGTCTATCCACTTTTTGGAGTGCTAGTAGTTCCTACCTGTCTATCCACTATTGGAGTGCTAGTAGTTCCTACCTGTCTATCCACTATTGGAGTGCTAGTAGTTCCTACCTGTCTATCCACTATTGGAGTGCTAGTAATTCCTATCTTTCTATCCACTATTAGAGTGCTAGTAATCCCCACCTGTCTGCTATTGGAATGCTAGTAATTTTTATCTGTCCACTACAAGATCCGGTTTAGGCGGTTAACGGGGTTGGGTGGTTAGGCTCACTGACTTGGTTGATGCATGTCATCGTATCCAAGTTTCATAGATCGATGCTCATGATGTCAATCACTGGATTGTCTGGCCCGACTCAATTATTTTCAGACCACCATAATAAAGCTGGAATATTGCAAATAAGGCAATGTTTCTAACAGATCACGATCTGAAAAATACTATCATGAAAGTGTATCCCATGGATAAGCTGACCCCTTTCTACAAGTCTTTTTCCGGGTCCTCAAAATTGGGCTTATCTGTGGACATATACGGTACAAGATGTAAGAAACAACAAAACACTGGAGCAACCACATATGCAAACTGTCATTATGAAACAGCAGGCTGGTTTATTGGATGACCAGACTGGGGTAAGGCAATGTAAAATGGAAACACCATTTGGAACTGCTGTTAACACTGATTATTGTTTAAAGGACTGACCACAGTTCTTTATAGTTGGAGGATAAGTAGGATAATGTGAAAATAATAATAATAGCTTCTTATTTTTCAGATATTTTTCGTTTGAATAATGTTTTCACCTGTATATTCAAGCCCTTCAAACAAGCATCATTACACACAGATCCATAAACCCTCATCCTACAAAACACTGATGTTATCAGTCTCTGAAGACACAACTTAATGAGCGTCTTACAACAAAAATTAAGACATCTTGAAAATTCAAAAAGGTATCACACATGACCATCCATAATAGGAACTAAGTTATGGAGCAAGTGCCATACTCTTCACTGACCCATGTGCATAACTCACCCCTTTCCTGTCCCAGTGTACTCGAGTGGTCAAGGAAATTAAGCAGAGTGCAGATTACCCACGTTCTAGGTAGCTCCTTGACTAATTCTATAAAATTATTTACACCTGCATGGATACATAAATTAGCAGGTATTATTACTTCAGCATTATAACTTGAGCGTTATGGAGAATTACCTACTGAGGCATTATGAAGCATTAGAACTTGGCCATTGTAGGGCATTAACTACTGTGCCATTATAAAGCATTATAACTTGAGCGGTATGGAGAATTACCTACTGAGGCATTATGAAGCATTATAATTTGAGTGGTATGGAATATTACCTACTGAGGCATTATGAAGCATTATAACTTGAGTGGTATGTAGAAGTACCTACTGAGGCATTATGAAGCATTAGAACTTTAGTGGTATGGAGAATTACCTACTGAGGCATTATGAAGCATTATAACTATAGCATGTATAGTGGTATTGAGAATTACCTACTGAGGCATTATGAAGGATTATAATTTGCGCGGTATGGAGAATTACCTACTGAGGCATTATGAAGCATTATAACTTGAGTGGTATGGAGAATTACCTACTGAGGATTATGAAGCATTAGAACTTGAGCGGCATGGAGAATTACCTACTGAGGCATTATGAAGCATTAAAACTTGACCGTTGTGGGGCATTACCAACTGAGGCATTATGAAGCATTACACATGGGGCATTATGAAGCATTACAACTTGAGCATTGTGGAGCAATATCCACCAAGGCATTATGGCGCATTCCACCTGGGGCATTACATATCATTACAACCGGGGTGATGACACTTTATAGAACAGTATTAGTTAGTGGAATGTTAGTACCATAGTTATGGAATAGTAAATTGTAAGTTGATTTAACTGGATTTTGCTTTTTTTTTATTGGTTATGGAACAGTGTTACCTTCGTGGGGTCATATGTATTGAATCTTGAATTGTAAGTTCATATAACTGGATTTTGCTCTTGTTTGATTGGTTGTTGCAGACAATTTGGTTTGTGATTAGTTATACAAGCATGATTGATATTTTTTATGTACTGCCATGTATGCATAGTTACCTTTGGGCATTATGAAGGATTGATAATGGGGCATTATGAAGGATTAATACAGGAGTATTATGAAGGATTGATACAGGGGCATTATGAAGGATTGATACTGGGGCATTATGAAGGATTAATACAGGAGCATTATGAAGGATTGATATAGGGGCATTATGAAGGATTGATACAGGGGCATTATGAAGGATTGATACAGGGGCATTATTGAGATGATTTTGGGGCATTATGAATGATTGATACAGAAGCATTATCAATGATTGACACAGGAGCATTATGGAGGATTGATACAGAGGTATTATGGAGGATTGGTACAGGGGCATTATGATGGATTGATACTGGATCATTATGAAGGATTAATACAGGAGCATTATGAAGGATTGATACAGAGGCATTATGAAGGATTGATACAGGAGCATTATGGAGGATTGACGCATGAGCATTGTTGAAGACTGATGCATGGAACAGGGAATTCGAATAGGGTACTGGAACTGGGTGACTATTAAGAACGGAGCAGTAGGCAGCATAACCAACGGGGTATTTATGGAACATTACAACTGGGCATTATCGGGCATTACAACTGGGCATATTTGGGCATCTCAACTGG